CTTCTCAATTATTGTAATTTCTTCTTGTATTATTTTCTCCTATTTATCTTTGTCTTGTGCTTTCTCATAGTTCATCGACTCTACAATCATAAGAGCAAAATTATAAGATTTATAAATATCACTCAAGGATCTCATTCTCCTTGGAGGACTTGACAATTCTGAACTCAAATTATTGTAATCATTATGACCACTTAGAAGATGTCTCCAAGGTAAGATAAATAATGTAAAAGCTTCACTCATTGAATCTTGACTAGTTTGCATAATTTTCTACTCATTTTCACAAGAAGATATTTGATACATTGGATTTATATTCTAATTCCAGCAAGCATATTCATCAAATATAATGTCACGACGAATCAATAACTTCTTTATTTCAAGATAAGATAAATGATAACTCTTACTTTCATATAACCAAAAAATATATATTTCTCACTCTTTTTGTTCATTTTACCATGATCATCAGCATCAATTAATGCATGATAAATATAACTAAAAAATTCAAATGACTAACATTATATTTTCAATGATATCAAGCTTCATAAGGAGTCATATTCATCACTACCTTTGTGGGAGAAATATTGAAAAGAAAAATAAATGTTTATTTTAGTAATACTATTTTACTCTAAAGTTTTTCAAATAGTGAGTTGCCTTTTAATTTCATGTTTCTTACAAAATGACTCAAACTCATAAGAAATAAACTCTCCCCCTCTATCTATTTTTATTCGAAGAGTTTTAATAAAATGTTCACTTGATTTTTCAACAAAAAATTTAAAATAACTAAATTTATCAAATACTTTAGATTTATGAGAAATAAAATACACCTAACTCATTTGTGTAAAGTCATCAGTACTCAATAAGAAATATCAATTATTGTTTAAAGATAATGTTTGCTTTGGACCACAGAAATCAGCATGTAATAACTCAAGAAGAAATCTTGTTCTCCAAGATTTTTCCATTAGAAATGATACGTTTTCTTGTCATAAACACATCATTCACATCTTTTACTATTTACTAAAATAGGGTAGACCAAAACTCATATGCTTGTATTGTAATAATTTTCATATATTTAAATGTAAATGTCCATAATGCAAATGTTAAAGTAAACACGAATTATTATCTTTTGTAATCATGTCAAAATCAATGAGTTTTGAAACATCAAAAATAAAATACAATTTTTCTAACCTTAAGAATCATCATAAGAGACATATCACTCTTCTTATGTTTGATAACACCTGTATCACCTTCAAAATCAATAATAAAACTACATTTCCATAATTGGCCCACAATAAACACGTTATGTGTCAAATTTGGAACAAAATAAACATCATGAATCAATATACATGCACTTGATTTTGTATGAACAACAATAATACCAATGCCTTCAATTCTCACAATATTTTCATCATCAATAGTAACATCACAAACTATAAAAGTATCAATATTCTGAAATAAATTTCTTTCACCTATCTTATGATTTTTGCAACCACTATCAATAAATTATATATTTAATTTACTTGAGTTTGAAGGTACATAAGTGATAAATAACTTATTGTGATCATTTTCTTCAATAGTATTATCTTATTCTCTTTTCTTATTTCAAGAATTTCCTTAAATATAACTTACTTCTCACATATTTACTTATTATTTTGTTTTTTCTAACACGATAATTCAATATGATCATATTTCTTTAAAAAATGATATTACATAACTTTATAAAAAAAATTGATTTTGTTGGTTTCCACCATCAATTTTTTTCTTCCCATAATGTAATCTACCATGTCCTCTTCCTCAGCTTCTATTTGATAGTGTCCTCTACCTTAGCTTTGTTGATTATATATGACTTCACTATTTTTCTCCTTCTTTAAAATTTCAGCTTTAACTTGAAATGCTTGTTCAAATGATTTTTCTGTTGATTTATTCATTCATTCTTTATGTGTTGATAGTGCTCCAATTAATTCATTTTGTGCATAAACAAATAATCTTTAAATTGTCCAATGGCAGTAATAATGTAATCAAATTTAGAAGGTAAATTTTTTTTAAAAAAAGAATCTAATTCTCTTTTCTGAAATATATTCTTTAAATATTCTCATATGATTTATAATAATAGATCCTTGAGAAAAAAAAATCATGCATTGATTCATCAAATTTCATTAACATATTTTCAAACTCTCTATGAAGGGTTTGAAGTTTCACATTCATAACTTTACTATTTTCATAGAATTCATCTTTCAAGACTTTTTATGCTTCAAAAGAACTCGTGGCATTAGTAATGTGTGGAAAGATTATTTCTGAAACAGATTGTTGTAAAATTAATAATATTTTAACATCCTTTTTTCAAAAATCTTTATTTTTCTATTTAAAACTTTCTCCTTCCTTATTATCATTCTCAACCAAACTCCCATAAATCTTATAAAATGAAAAATATCTTCATTTGAACACTCCAAAAATCATACTTCTCTATATTCAAACATAAAACAAGAAGTTGTGAGAGGTTGTGGGGATCACCATTTGTAATTCTCAAGGTCAATGGCAATACTTCTTCACATAAACTTTGATTTGAAACTTCAAAATCCTTGTTATGATAAGAAATTTTCAAAAGTCTTAAAAATACTTCATCAACATTGAATTTTTATCTCATTGGATGTTGTTGTGCTCTCCATGGAAGACCAAGTCCCAATTCACAAACTTGGCTCTAATACCACTTGAAGGAAAATAATAGGGGAGAAACTTAAAAAGAATATGTTGATTTTGTGGAAAGAATGGTCGAAGGAGGAAGAGAGAAGAAAATACATTTCACACACACGAAACCCTAAAAAACACAAAACGTCCTAACTAATAATCGTGAGGAGTGATAGAGTATTTATAACACTAAACTACCTCATGTGGGCTTGTCCCCTTTTGGCCCACTAAAGACAAAGAAACTAAAGCCCATTAAAATGCTAACACCTCTCTCTCTCTCTCTCTCTCTCTCTCTCTCTCTCTCTCTCTCTCTCTCTCTCTCTCTCTCTCTCTCTCTCTCTCTCTCTCCTCTCTCTCCTCTCTCTCTCTCTCTCTCTCTCCTCTCTCTCTCTCTCTCTCTCTCTCTCCCTCTCTCTCTCTCTCCTCCTCTCTCTCTCTCTCTCACTCACTCACTAACTCACTCACTCCTCTCTCCCTCTCTCTCTCTCTCTCTCTCTCTCTCTCTCTCTCTCTCTCTCTCCCTCTCTCTCCCTCTCTCTCTCCCCTCTCTCTCTCTCTCTCTCTCTCTCTCCCTCTCTCTCCCTCTCTCTCTCTCTCCCTCTCTCTCCCTCTCTCTCTCTCTTCCTCTCCTTCTCTCTCTTCTCCTCTCTCTCTCTCTCTCTCTCCTCTCTCTTCTCTCTCTCTCTCCTCTCTCTCTCTCTCTCTCCTCTCTCTCTCTCTCTCTCTGTCCCTCTCTCTCTCCTCTCTTCTCTCTCTCTCTCTCTCTCCTGTCCCTCCCTCTCTCCCTCCCTCCCTCCCTCCCTCTCTCCCTCCGTCCCTCCCTCCCTCTCTCTCTCACTCACCCTCCCCCTCTCTCTCTTGTGCGCGTGCAAAACACACTTGGATAAACAAGGCATTGTTGAGAATACATAATCTACATATTTATCAAGGGACTACAAAGCAATGATAGAGGTCTTTTAGGCGTGAAGATTTCTTATAATGGTTGGGTACGTGGACAAACATTAGTCGAACGTCAACATTCTATTAGAAGTCTACCTTTTCTTATTTAATAAATCAAATGCCAATTCTTTAATTTTCTAGTAATATTTTTCAATATTTAAATAAATCAAATGACAGTACAACCCAACTTTTTAGTTCATAATATTGTGAACTAGTCCTAATTTGTGTTTCATCTAATTTATAGGGAATTTGTACCTACATAAAGATAAAAGATAAATATAACTCTCAAGATTAAAGGTGCTGAGACCATCTTTCCATATAAAAAGCATATATATCATCAAAAGTTTATTTTCAATACATACCATTTGAGAATAATCATATGAAAAAAATATATGTAAATTTTGATACGTATAATTATTGAAATCCTTTCAAATTTTGTTACCATCAAACTCAAATGTCTGGGTTATTGACTTTGATAAAGAAGGCACTACTTGGAAAACATGACATTCAACTTATCTTGATAAGATATATTTTTCAATATGAAGTTTGGACATACTCCATGGTATTATTCATGGTAAATAAAATATGGGTACATCAACTCCTCAAAGGGCACATTTAACTTATAGAAAGAGTGAATCTTCAATTTATGAGTAATCATGCACCTCCTTGAAATTATTACGTTATTTATGCCAACATGAAATGCATGTTTTCCTCAATATAATGTGAACCCATCGTTGTACCTCATCCCCTTTTAAGCTAACAATAAGGTCACAAATCTGATCATGTCTTTTGTTTGATGTATGTAATAGATTCAAAAAATTCGAAAACAGTTCTGTCATTTGAAATTTACCAGAAAAGTAGATAAACACTAGCGATGCCACACTAATGGATTTAAGTATGCCTACGTATCTACGAGTTGCATGTTTGTAGCTTAGTAACAATAAAAAATGGGAGCTGCCATTCAGAAAATTTGCAAGATAATTACTGATAAACACCAGCGGCAGCAAATTAACAAACTCACTTTTACCAGGTTAAGTCCCCAGAACGCGGCTTCCCAACCGATGGGCTTTTTAAAGGGCCGTCTTGCTCCCGGAAAAGTCGCTCTTCCCAATGGCAACTTTCTTTCTCTACGGACTTGCCACGCTCCAACCATGAGCAAAGTAAAATAGAATAAAATAAAAATAAAAGCGTTACCACCACGTCGGATGGCCACGTGTCAGGTCTACGTGGTGATCCACGTAAGAGATGGGGACTTTCTCCACCGTTCTTCTCTCCGTGGTGGCAGAGACGGATTGATTACTCGGGGATGAAGAGGATTCTCGCCTGGTTGGAAGCCCGCGCCTCCCTCCCCCCTCCCGCCTTCTTCCTCTTCTTCTTCTTCTTCATGAAGAAGGCGGCGGCGGCTTCCCTCTCAGGAAGGACTTCACGAGCAGGAGAGCCCTGGACGGCTGGTGGCTCGGCACCTCGTGCCCCGCCCCCCTCACCGTCGCCAACATCAGCCCCCCCTCATAGACCACCACATACCCTCCCACCTTCACAAGAACAAGAACCACAGCCAGAGAGAGAGAGTGATCGTCGTCAGCGGAGGAGGAGGAGGAGGGAGGGAGGGGGGGGGTCTTTACCTCTCCGTGGGCTGTCCATGGCCGCCAGGGGGATTCAACGGGGAGGCTGAGGGTGTCGATGGAGAACCTGGTGGAGGTGACGGGAACCACGCCGTCGACATCACCGCTGCGCAGGAACTCGGAGATTATTTTTAGAACTCTCCGGCAATCCGGAAGGTTTCCAACCCAAGCTTACCTGTACACCAAGACGCGGACTCCATGTCCCATGAGCTTCCGCACCAGCGGCAGGACGGTCTTCGCCTTATCCTTCCAGCCCACTAACATCTTGCTGAGAAGAAGAGGAAGAAGAAGAGAAGATCGCCGAGGGGATTCAGCGACTGTGTTGAGGCCCAAAACCCTAATAGGCGGATAGAGAACGAAGCTGGTAGGGTGATGCTGATGGGACCTGCAGGCTCTCCAGGGGTAACCGAGCTTGGTGAGGTTAGCGTGGAGGGCCTCCTGGACCTCGGGGCGGTTCAGATACGCTTCCACGTAGAAATCCGAGCAAGGGTCGAATTCGTTGACCTGCGAGTGCCGCCAAACATATATCACCCGGAGAAGGACAAGATCATCGGAGGAATCTGACCAACTTCATAAGCTCCGGGAATTAGGAGATCAGCTTACAGAGGCTCTCCTGGGGATGGCGGTGAGGCTGCCGGAGGTGCAGGGAGGCCCGTAGATGTCGTAGAGGTCGAGCGACTGGCCAAAGATCCCGTCGACCAGCTCGAGGGCCTGCTGGCAGTCAGGGCTCCGGCTGTAGCCCAGGTCCAGGAGGGAGAAGTTGCAGAACATGCGGATCCCTTCGATAGCCTCGTCGGAGATCAGCGCGTGGCTCCAGAAGAACTCGTACATCCCCTTGAAGTCCGTCTCGTCGTTCATCACCGCATTCCCCATCTGGCCTCATCATAAACGTGACGCAGAGAGAGAGAGAGAGAGAGAGAAGGAGAGGGAGCGATGAGACGTACGAGGATTCCTTTAAGGTTGAAGAAGGTGGCGTTGTGAGACTGGTTGTGGAGGAGGAGGGACGCCAACTGGGTGACGAAGTGGCCGCCGTAGCTCTCTCCGGCGACGTAGAGATCCCGGCGCTTGTACTCCGGGAACCTCTCCAGCCAGTTCACTAGGAAGACGAGGGTGTCCGCGGCCGACCTCCTGTCTCCGCAACTCCGGTAGTCCGCCGTCGTGTTGGAGTACGAGTACCCAACGCCCGCTGGGCTTTCCAAGAACAGCACGTTGGCCACTACTCAATCCCCCACCATCGCTTATTAGTCTTCCACACATAGAAGAAGAAGACGAAGAAGAAGAAAGAGAGAGAAAGGAAGACGCAGAGAGAGAAGCGTACCTGAATTCCATGCAAATGGGTTTCGAAAGAGCGTCCGGCCATCGCTGCGAACCCGGAAAGGCCCGAGCTCCTCCATGGCGCCGAAACCGAGGGAAGAGCACCCCGGGCCTGAGAGAAAACCAGGGTGGCATACGAGGTCACAAGCGGAGGACTTCCATCGTGTTCCTAGCGAGGAGCTCTTCCTCGGGGCAGGTAAAGCCTTCTCCTTACCTCCATTGAACCAGAGCAGGAGAGGCCGAGAGGAAGGGTCGCCGCCGGCAGCCTCTGCGAGGTAGTAGAAGAGCGCCCTCCCGGCGCCGCCATCGACGATGACGTAGCCTCCGTACTGCTTGAAATCTATCCCAACCGGCTGCCCTGGGAGCTCCTTTATCCTGTCACCATCCTTCGTACCTGACTGAGACTGCAACTCCGGCGACTCGACGGCGGCGATGGCGGTCTCCTTCTCCTGCTCCACGAAAAGGACGGGTCTCGCTGGTCTTCCAGCTCGGGGGAAGAACTCGGAGAGGACGTCGCCCTGTCGCCGCAGCCGTCTCCTCCCCAGGCTTCCTTCTCCGACGCCGACCACCGTGTAGCTGATCACCAGCCAGCACACCGCTCGGGCTATCCTCATCCTCTTCCTCCTCCGAGGCTACACCCGCTTCACCTTGTGTTCAGAAGGCCCCTGGCATCGTAAGAAGCTCCTCTGTGAAGATAGTAAAGGCCAGACGATCAGGAATCTAGCCGGAATTGGAGCCATTCCTTCCCCTTCTGTCGAATCGGAGAGCGGTGCTAGTGGCGTTGACTGGGAAGAAGTAAACGACGGGCCTCCTCACATGGGTTTATAGAGAGCAGCCGCTAGCATCCATTAGCATGGCGAGGGGAACGGCCGTATAACATTCAATGGGGAATTAATATGATCGCGATGGTTTCACCGGGGAGGGCGGGGAGAGGGTGTAAAGTCAAAGGACGTTTACCCCCTCCCCCCCTCGTGGGATGTGAGCTTATGAGTGCAGGTGGAGCGTTGTACGAATTATTTACTTGTGAGGGGTTTGTGTATATATTTAGTGTCTTATGGGTATATTGAAAAATATTGCCACGTGGATACCCATGCCACCTGGGTAATGCCATTCGCTTCCTGTTATTTCTAGAAGATTTTCTGGTGCGGATATTAATTATGTGCGGTGGATCCTTCGAACGGTCGGAGATCTGGCTCCTTTTCCTGATAGACCACTCTCCGCCGTCCGATGACGGAAGACCGAGGCGAAGAAAGCCCGTCGGTATCCTCCCACCGACCAGACCGAGCAAATTAATAAAATTTTCCGGGTCTGGGTGGGGACGAGAGAGAGTAGCCGTTGGCGCTTTGAAAGTCCGTGGATTCGACCGTTAAGGCCACGAGCGTCCCACAGATCCCGCAGGCCAAACCCCCATCTTTCAAACTCTGGAGCGGTCTGAGCTGTCCCGTGCCCTCCCAGGTCTTCTTCCCCCGCAGTAAAAACCTTTCAGGGAGAGAGAGAGAGAGAGAGCGAGAGAGAGAATGGGGGAAGAAAAGTAGTCCGATCGACGGAGAGCAGAGACGAAAATGGTGGCTAGGACGCCGGCGAGCAAGGAGAAGAGACGGGCGGCGGCGGCGGTGGCCGTCAGCCCCTCTGTTGTGAGGGAGACCGTGAAGAAGGTAAATCCCCTCACCTGTGCCCTCTGCTTGGCTCCTTCTCTGCAAGAATCTCACCCCGCGGTTTAGGTGGAGAAGTGCGTCGCTCGGCTGCAGGAGCTCCAGTACACGGTCACCGGTGGGAACAAGATGGTGGCCGGCGCAAGCCTCAGCCCGCGCAGCACAAGAGGGTATCTACGCACCAGCCTCAGGTGCAAGCAGGAGACCCAGAGGTCAGCGTCACATCCCGATCTCTCCGCCGTTATCTCCCACCCTGCAATCACTGACGAAGATCTTGTGTGCTTGCTTACCTGAAGAATGAAGAATGCTGCCGCAAGGGGATCGTCGGCCGGTAGATTGCCAGAGAAGACCGGCGAGTGGCGGCGGATGTCTCTGCCGGCGATGCTGCTGGGGGAGACGATCAGTGAGGTTCTCCAGGCCAGCCGATTCGCCAAGGACGTGGTCGTCGTTGCCGCAAAGCCGAGCACTAGAAGGGTGGCCACCGCCACCGCCGTAGCCGTCTCGACGGATCCCAGGACCCCGGTGGCCGGCCGCCGGAAGTCTGCGGGAGAGATCACAGAGCTGAGGGCCAGGCGGACGAGGGAGAAGCAGTCTCTGGTGGGATCGTCGTCCCGATCGCCGCCAGTCCGGCGGGCACGGGCCCGCATCAGCTTCAAGCCGGCGTCGCCTCCGAACTGGAGGGAGGGCACCGGGCGGCGGCCGGTGGCCGTCGCCGCCCAGCGGGTCTCCCCTAAGAGCAGGCCGTGGGCGAAGAAGGCAGTGCTCTTCCCCAACCCGGTCTTCTCCTCGCCGTCCTCCCACCACCACAGGTTCTCCAAGACGGGATCTCCGGTGATCGCGGCGAGGTTGAGGCAGGGCCCGCCGCATAAGTTCCTCATTAAGTCTCCTCCCACGGCGGCGAGGTTGCAGGTGAGGGTGAAGAGCTCGCAGCCGGCGTCGTTGTCTCCGTTGAGGCTTCCAAGCTCTTCAAGACCCAAGATGGCAGTTGTGGCCAGGCTGAGACGGTCCTTCTCCCCATCGAGGCTGGCCAGCCGGTTGGTCGCCATGTCCCCACTGAGAAGTGGGGCTTCAAAAAGAGAAGCAACGCCCATTGGAGCAAGACGAGGAAGAGGAAGATCAGCTGCTTGATAAAAACCTTCGTCTCGTAGGTAGTTGAGCTGCATCGTCAACTCCTCGTCTGCAAGCAACTCCTTGATGACGACATGTACAACGGGGTTTGTTCAGTTCTCTTCTCTTCTCTCGTTTGAAACAGAGAAAAATTGGGGAGGCATAACGCATCGATCAAATAAGGAAAGCAGTAATTTTATACTTATTCTCTCTCTATCTCTCCTTGATCACATATTTAATGAATGTAAAAGTAGATATATTTTTGTTGCTATTCAAATTGTGGGGCAGGAGATGAAAATGAGCCTGTCCTTGGTATTCATTATTATTTGAAGCTTCCCAAGATTCCATAGAAGAAACGACTGTGCATTCCAAGCCTCTTGAGATCGGTGAAGCCGGCGACTATGGAAAACGGGCCTACGGACGCGGTAACGTATGTGTGATATATACGTTTGGTTTCTCGCTAACTTTTGTTGAAATGGAGGTTGGGGGGACGAATGCTTCGAGCAAAGCTGTGAGTCGAAGGTCAGATGGTGTGCCCGTCTACTGATTCCGAGACCTGAGATGACCACAAGAAACCCAATAAAATAAAAGACGATGAGCAGGGCAGCAATTTTCGAAGGCTTGTGATAATTACCCAGTAGAGGAAGGGATTCTGGCGACCGCCAGTTCCGGAACGTTTCACTTGGTCGAGCTTCACAAGCCTGCGGAGAAATCCAAGACCACGGACGAGGACTTCAGAAAATAGAACAACATTGTGTGCCGATGCGAATTTTATAAGACAAGACAGGGCAGAAGAAGAAAAGGGTAGTTAGGATGGATCCCCCAGTTGGACGGGCGGCTAGATGTAGGGGAATGATGATTACTGTACTGACATGCGAAGAGCCTTGCTTGTATCAGGGCTGTCGCCGAGAACCGCCCGGATCTTGACCTCAGAAGTGCATCCCTTCTCCCAGAGGAAGTCCAGTATGGCCTCTGCACGCCTCCGCACGCCGTTGCTGCGGCAAATCACGGTGCCGTTCCCCGAACCGTCCACCAGGACGTACTCCCCCGCCACCCGCCTCATCCTCATCACTATTCGCTTCCCGCCGTTAGAGCTGAAGGACGCACGCCCACTAATCGCACTCACAGGGCTGCTGGGAGGAAGTTTCTGGGAGACCTGAACGCCGCGATGGCTGCTGCTGGTCGCGGCCCCAGAGGAGGGTGATCCGGATAAGCTGGAGCTGGTGGTGGGAATGCTTCCGATGGCCAAAGCGGCAGTGGAGGTGCTAGACAGGCAGGAGGGGAACGGATCTTCTTCCTGATTCTGTTTCCCATTCTGTTTAGGAGTCCGACACTCATTGTTAGCAGAGCTCTTCTTACTGATGCTGCCATAGACGACCGCAGAACGAGCCTTCCTCACGACCTGATCAATTGGTTCAGTGAAAACTGAATTATCCAATTAGCGGCGAAATATGTAAACTCGCGACACTAGAGAGCCTAGGAACGCAAATGCGATGCAGATCTGAAAAGTAGTGTGAAACATGTGTAGAACAGGGTCCGATGCCTTGCTCAGGAGACGCATCGGACCTGAAGCAGTTAGAGCAAAAGGAATTTGCATTCCGAGGAGGTTTCAACAATTGGAAAGCTGGATAAGAGTGAAGAGGATTTGATCCAATATCCTCATATTCCTACAGCTCTACTAAGTTTCCTTCTCCATAACCGTACCCGTGCCAGTGATCCAGATAAAAAGAAACAGAGATCTCCATCCGACAATGGTCAGATATCCAACAGAATGAAACACAGTCATAAAGCAGCGAAAGACAAGACAGATGTAGATCGGAACCAATTCAGAAACAGCTCGATGAATAAGCTTCGCTTACTTTACGCTTGATGTCGAGGCAGCGAGCTGCCAAAGCGAGAAGACGCAGGGGATCCGCCTGGAACTCGGCGCCAACAGCACCAGCGGCGATCTCATGAGCGGAATCCGAGACACAGGAGGACGATGAAAATGGAGCCAAAGGAGACGACGAGGTCGAAGAAGAGGACGGACATTGCTCCTCAACCGAGTCGACTCCGGCATGGCAATGAAACCAGAATCCCTTGCTGCGGAAACACATTATAACCTCATCGTGAGAAGAAGCGAAAGGCCACTACACGCCTGTGAGAAACAAATACAGGAGGTGCGATCACCTGACGGCCACGGCGGAGCCGGAGGAAGCGGACGACCTCGAAGCAGAGGATGAGGCGGAGGAAGGGGCGGCGCTGGGAGACGATGTGAGGAGGAGGAGACCGGCGGCGGCGGAGCGTTCGTCCGGGGAGGAGAGATTCCTTCGTCCTGTTCCTCCTGCCACCATCTCCAGTCCTCCTCACTCCCTCTCTGTGGCGGGAACTTTTCAATTTGATCTGAGAATGTAACGTCGTCTCTCTCTCTCTCAACATCGCTCAGACGTTTTATCCGATGGCTCGAGTGGGGGGGCCCAACAGATATCTGGCGCAGCACGAATCGCCTCTAGAATTTTCCCTCCTCCAACCGGGTCGCCCGGAAGGATTGATTATACACCGTTGATCTTGATCCAGATCGGGTGGTAGTGGATTACATGTGTAAAAAACCCCCAAAACCGGATATATTATAAAATAATCCCAGAGTTAAGATCAGCCCCACCAATGATTGACGTTCAAACCAACGAACTTCGCAAAATGTCAGAGTGGGCCCCGCCAAACGGATACATCGTTCCTTCTTAGTTGAGGGTGAACACGTCATTTGCGCCCAATGTTTTCCTTTTTTAATTTCTCATAAATAGTTGTGACTTAATTATAAATTCATAAATTATTTTTTTCCTCACTTAAAATATTTTTGAAGGGAAAGTAAAAAAAATCATCGGCAGAAAATGCATCTTACGAGCGTGATCGCACGTGTGGAGGTGTCGACAACAACCAAACCTCGTCCGAGCTGGCAATGCGCTGGTGGCCCCCCTCTTCTCTCTATACCGTTACAGAGGGCCTCGACGACGACGTCTACGTGGCGACGGTGGGACCGACACCCCGCGAGGAGAGAATAAAATGGTGTTTTACTAATAGAACCTCAATAGACCAGTCAATGACATTCACACCTGCGAGGTAGTGAGGTAAGAAAATATGACATTCAGGAAAATTACATTTGTACCGCATGATCCGAGTATATATAGAGAAGCCCGATGGAATGTGATTGAGGAGAGAATGTTTTACGATCGCTGGGGGCTAGCTACACATGCATAGATAGATAGATAGATAGATAGATAGATAGATAGAGAGAGAGAGAGAGAGAGAGAGAGAGAGAGAGAGAGGGAGGGAGTGAGGGAGTCAATATTGAGAATTTATCAGGCTGTCACTGGTCCGGGTGCACATATTTAGGCATGAGAGAGGGAGGCAGGGGGAGAGAGAGGGAGAGAGGGAGTTAATACTAAGCATTTATTACTGCCAGTCCTGGCTGCACATATCTAGAGAGAGAGAGAGGAGGAGAGAGTTTTTTAACAGATATATGCACATATATGTATAAACAGACTAGAGAGAGAGAGAGGAGAAAGAGTTTTTAAACATATATCCATATTGAGAGAGAGAGAGTTTTCGTTGGGGGGTGGGGGGCGAGAGGAGTACAGAGGAAAATGACAGAGGAGGCGGCTTTAATGGCGGCGCGTAACATGGCGTGAGCGAACATTTCCCGCAGCATGCATGCAAACAGCGCATACATCCATTTCTTGGCTCTCTGGCTCCGGCAACCACTCTCTCAGACTCCCCTCCGCGCCCCCCGTCCCCCCAAAATCTCTCGTCGTCATTCCCATCTCTCTCTAACCTCCTCCCACTGTCATTTTTCTCTGTGCCCCATCCTCTATTCCTCTCTCTCTGTCTCTGTGTGCTGCAAGTCCGCGGGGGGAGGTGGGGTGTGGATTTATCTCTGGTCACGGGTTTGCCCCCGGGTGCTATGCCGCCAGGCCAACTCACTCTCTGTCGTCGCCATTGCTTCTACTCCAGCAGCTCCCCCTTCCCCTTTCTTCCTTCCTTGGATATTCAGCTGCGAATACCCCTCGCCAGCCAGTAACGATCTCCAGCGCAAGAGATGGAGTTGACAGAGCTGACCCTGAGGATCTTCTCCGTTCTGGAACGGCAGTGGCTGGTCCACGACGTCGGCGACGGCTCATTCAAGTTCCCGCCGCCGCAGCAGCAGCGGAGGAAAACCAGAATCCTCAGCATCGACGGCGGCTGCGGCTTCCCGGCCCTCGCCACCGCCCTCGCCTCGCTCGTACACCTCGAGCAGCTCCTTCAGGCGGCCACCGGCGACCCAGAGGCCCGCATTGCCGACTTCTTCGACCTCGTGGCCGGCACCGGCACCGGTGGCGTCCTCGCCGTTCTCTTAACGGCGTCTATGGAATGCCGCGGTCCCCTCTCCGCCCGCGCAGCGGCGGAGCTGCTCCGGATCGATCTCCCCGAGAAGCCCCGGTGGAGCATTTTCCGCCGCCGCCGGATGCGGCGCATGTTCTCTGCGCGGAGCCTGGAGACCGTCCTTCGTGCCGCGCTGGGATCACTCACTCTGAGGGACACCGTGAAGCCGCTGCTGGTGCCCTGCTATGACCTCCTCAGCGGCGCTCCCTTCGTCTTCTCAGGCGCCGGCGCCGGAGAGTCACCGGCGCTGGACTTCGAGCTCTGGAAGGTCTGCCGCGCCACGTCGGCCACACCAGGGCTCTTCGAGCCCTTCAACGTGGCCTCCGTCGACGGGGCGACGGTCTGCCAGGCCGTCGACGGCGGCCTCGCCATTAGCAACCCCGCCTCGGCGGCCGTCACCCACGTCCTCCACAACAAGGCCGACTTCCCCTCCGTTGGCCGCGTGGAGGACCTCATCCTGCTGTCCCTGGGCAGCGGAGGCAAGCGGCGGAGCCGTCGCTGGCCTCCGCGGGTCGCAGAGATGGAGATCGTCATGGAGGGGCTCTCCGACGCCGTTGACCAGATCCTCGTCAACGCCTTCCCGGGAAACGCCGACGGCTACCTCCGCATCCAGGTACTTCAGAAGGGAACATGATCAACTGGAAAGGCTTACCCCCATCGCTGAGCTCCTCTCTTCCTCTGGTTTATCAGGTCAACGACTCGCCAGGGGCGGCGGAGGAGGAGGAGGGGAAGCTGACGGAGGAGGGGCTGAAGAGGCTCGGAGAGAGGATCATGAGGGAGAGGGGCGTGGAATCGCTGCCTCTGGGGGGGAAGCGACTGTCAGCGCTGACCAACGGGGAGAGGATGGAGGAATTCGTCCGCCGCTGGCTTCTCCGCTCGGGAACCACGGCGGCGGAGCAGCGGAACAAGTCGGACGCTGGCGGCGGAGCCGAGCCTTGATAGTCAACTCCTCGACGGGACGCCACTAATGGAAGGAAATCTCCCCCGCCCATGGCCCCCCGCCATGGACGAGCTCTTGCCCACCTCACGGCGGCAGTCCTCCCCCGTCTACTGAAACCCCCCGATACCGCTGGTTTATATTATCAGCTTTGCATTTATCATGTCGTTGACCAACACAGTGGACTTATTCTGTTAAGATAATATCCGGCGAGCTAGAGATGGGGGTTGACCCTCACTAACAGCCGAATTTATCCGACTTTATTAAAAAAATAGTTTAATTAATCTAATAATAAAATCTTTTAATCCATTCGAGACATGGGTAATAGTAATGCGAAGTGTGTATATCCGCATATTTTTAAGGCGACTCCGTTTATGGTGCTGTTGGGCTCAGCCGTCTTTCTCAAAGCCACGTGGCTCTATCAGTTAACTACAGCAACGGGAGGAGAGAGAGAGAGATGGAGAGCGTTGATGAGTTGACCGGTGCAGTAGACTGCTTCTTCAGGGGGTAGGGGGGTCAGTCCTGAAAGGGCCGAGAAATGGGTTCTGGCCCGGCCCAGAGGATCTTACTGTCGAACAGGGCCGAGATCGGCCCGGAAAGTTTATGGGTGGGCCGTCCCCATTTCAGGGTGGGTGCCAGTCTAAGTTGGTGTTGCAAAACTGACGAGGAAATACGGGTAGATGACGTCTCCCTGGGCCCGATTCGTCCACGTCGTCGTCACCGGCAAGGAGTGGCCAAAAAGGCCGCAAGGTACGAGGGTAAACCTGTTATTTCACCACCATAAGCCCCTTGATTTGATTAATATCGCGGCCTGTGGACGGCGAGTGGCGGAGCGACACCGGTGGGGAAGAAAATATCCGTCGTCTGATGCTGCGGCGGTGGCGGGATCCAGTGGCGCCATCCACTCGTCGGGAGAAAGATCTCAACTTGGGGAGGAAGGACCACCGGAGGAAGTGGCGCTTCTGCCCCTCGCTGCGGCGGAGCCCGTGATCCGGTGGGAATCCCCGTCCTCTGAGAGGGCAATCCGCGGCGGCCAATGGGAGGGCGAGAGGCTGCATCGCCGGGGCCCCCAAAATCCGCAGAGCTCGCTCTCCGGCCACTCGTTCCCGGCCACTACCAGACGGAGAAGTTCTGGCCGGGTGGGAAGGAAAAAGCGAGAGAAAAATCCCCCACAGAGGGGGAGGGTGAAGGGGGGCGCTGCCGTCTCCGCCGTTGCCGTCAGGTCCACGTGGATCTCTGGATGACCACCAGTGCGGCGGTGGCCGTCGACAGGGAGAATCGCTGGTCTCCCACCTCCTCTGTTTTCTCTCTCCTCCCCCCTGTAGGGCTCAGAGAGCCACACACTAGCAGGAGCCAGTCGCCGCCTCCGCCCCAATAAACACCACCGCCGGGCACTTCTCTTACAGTTTAGTGGAAGCCGGGCTTGTACAGAAGCCATCGCTCCCTCTCCCTCTCCCTCTCCCTCTCCTTCTCCCTCTTCCCTCTCATCTATCAGAAGAAGCTGAGCCCTAGAACCAGAGAGGAGGAAGGCGTTTTTCTTTTTCTCCGAGCTGTGTCTGGACTGCTGTGGCAATGGCGTCGCTGACATCGACCCCCTTCATGCTGTCCACCTCGGAGCATCTGTCCTCGGTGTCGCAGAAGCACACATTCCTCAGCTCGTTTCTCCCCAAGAGGCAGGGCGGAGGCGGCAGGGACGGCGGCGCCGCTGGAGCCCTGCGGGTGCGGTGCGCCGCCATCGGTAATGGGCTCTTCACCCAGACCAAGCCGGAGGTGAGGCGAATCGTGCCGCCGCCGGATCAGCACCGGGGGCTTCCCCGCGTGAAGGTCGTGTACGTGGTCCTGGAGGCGCAGTACCAGTCGTCGCTGTCGGCGGCGGTGCGGGCGCTCAACGCCGACCGGGAGTACGCCTCCTTCGAGGTGGTGGGGTACCTGGTGGAGGAGCTCCGCGACGAGGAGACCTACGCCGACTTCTGCCGGGATCTGGCTGACGCCAACGTCTTCATCGGGTCGCTCATCTTCGTGGAGGAGCTCGCCCTGAAGGTGAAGGCGGCGGTGGAAAAGGAGCGCGAGCGGATGGACGCCGTGCTGGTCTTCCCGTCCATGCCAGAGGTGATGCGGCTCAACAAGCTGGGCTCCTTCAGCATGGCGCAGCTGGGCCAGTCCAAGAGCCCCTTCTTCCAGCTCTTCAAGAAGCAGAAGCAGTCCGCGGGGTTCGCCGACAGCATGCTGAAGCTCGTGCGGACGCTGCCCAAGGTGCTCAAGTATCTGCCCAGCGACAAGGCCCAGGACGCCCGCCTGTACATCCTCAGCCTCCAGTTCTGGCTCGGCGGCTCGCCGGAGAACCTGCAGAACTTTCTGAAGATGATCTCCGGCGCGTACGTGCCGGCGCTGAAGGGCACCAAGGTCCCCTATGATGACCCCGTACTGTTCCTCGACAGCGGGATATGGCACCCGCTGGCGCCCACCATGTACGACGACGTGAAGGAGTATCTCAACTGGTACAGCACCCGGAGGGACGTCGACGAGAAGCTCAGAGGCCCCAATGCCCCCATCATCGGCCTCATCCTGCAGCGCAGCCACATCGTCACTGGCGACGACAGCCACTACGTCGCCGTGATCATGGAACTCGAGGCCAGAGGGGCCAAGGTGATCCCCATCTTCGCCGGCGGGCTCGACTTCTCCGGCCCGACGGAGAAGTACTTGGTCGACCCCATCACCAAGAAGCCGTTTATCCACGCCGCCGTCTCGCTCACCGGCTTCGCTCTCGTCGGCGGCCCGGCGAGGCAGGACCACCCCAAGGCCATCGAGGCCCTGCGAAAGCTCGACGTCCCTTACATCGTCGCCCTGCCGCTGGTGTTCCAGACGACGGAGGAGTGGCTCAACAGCACCCTCGGTCTTCACCCCATCCAGGTCGCTCTGCAGGTCGCCCTCCCCGAGCTCGACGGCGGCATGGAGCCCATCGTCTTCTCCGGCCGTGATCCCAGGACAGGCAAGCTTTGCTCCCCCACCCCGTTCGCTCTCTTCTTGCCCCCGTCTGTTGAATTGAACTGAACGCCGCCCTCTCCCCGCTGATACAGGGAAGTCGCATGCCCTGCACAAGAGGGTGGAGCAGCTCTGCACCAGGGCCATCAGGTGGGCGGAGCTCAGGAGGAAGACCAAGGTAATCAATAAAAAATTGCGCAGCCTGACCAGTCTCCGGGGAAAGGGGGAAGGTTGGTTCTCATTGTCGTGGTCCCCGTGGGTGGGTTGAATGTTCCAGGAGGAGAAGAGGGTGGCGATCACGGTGTTCAGCTTCCCGCCTGACAAAGGCAACGTGGGGACGGCGGCGTACCTGAACGTATTCTCCTCCATCTTCTCGGTGCTCAAGGAGCTGAAGGAGGACGGGTACGACGTAGAGGGCCTGCCGGAGACGGCGGACGCGCTGATCGAGGACGTGATCCACGACAAGGAGGCCAAGTTCAGCAGCCCCAACCTGAACATCGCCTACAAGATGAACGTCCGCGAGTACCAGAAGCTCACCCCCTACGCCGGCGCCCTGGAGGAGAGCTGGGGGAAGCCCCCCGGCAACCTCAACTCCGACGGGGAGAACCTGCTCGTCTACGGCAAGCAGTACGGTAACGTCTTCATCGGCGTGCAGCCTACCTTTGGCTATGAGGGCGATCCCATGCGGCTGCTCTTCTCCCGCTCGGCGAGCCCCCACCACGGCTTCGCCGCCTACTACTCCTACGTGGAGAAGATCTTCAAGGCCGACGCCGTTCTGCATTTCGGCACGCACGGCTCGCTCGAGTTCATGCCGGGGAAACAGGTGGGCATGAGCGACGTCTGCTACCCCGACAGCCTCATCGGCAACATCCCCAACATCTACTACTACGCCGCCAACAACCCCTCCGAGGCCACCGTCGCCAAGCGGCGGAGCTACGCCAACACCATCAGCTACCTCACACCACCGGCGGAGAACGCCGGCCTGTACAAGGGCCTCAAGCAGCTTGGGGAGCTCATCTCCTCCTACCAGTCGCTCAAGGACACCGGCCGAGGGCCGCAGATTGTCAGCTCCATCATCAGCACCGCCCGGCAGTGCAACCTCGACAAGGACGTTGATCTGCCGGACGAGGGCCTGGAGCTGAAGCCTGACGAGCGGGACCTGGTCGTCGGCAAGGTGTACTCCAAGATCATGGAGATCGAGTCGCGGCTGCTGCCGTGCGGGCTGCACATCATCGGTGAGCCCCCGACGGCGCTGGAGGCTGTGGCGACGCTGGTGAACATCGCCGCTCTGGACCGGCCGGAGGAGAACATCCGCTCCCTGCCGAGCATCCTGGCGGAGACCGTCGGCCGGCAGATCGAGGACGTCTACCGCGGCAGCGACAAGGGCGTCCTCGCCGACGTCGAGCTCCTCCGGCAGATCACCGACGCCTCCCGCGGCGCCGTCGGCGCCTTCGTGGAGAGGACGACCAACACCAAGGGCCAGGTGGTGGACGTGACCGACAAACTGATGAACTCCATGTTCGGCTTCGGCCTGGCGGAGCCGTGGGTGCAGTACCTCTCCACCACCCGCTTCCTCAGAGCCGACAGGGAGAAGCTGAGGATCCTCTTCGCCTTCCTTGGTGAGTGCCTGAAGCTCGTCGTCATGGACAACGAGCTGGGCAGCCTTAAGCAGGCCCTGGAGGGCAAGTACGTCGAGCCGGGTCCCGGAGGGGACCCCATCCGCAACCCCAAGGTGCTCCCCACGGGGAAGAACATCCACGCCCTCGACCCGCAGGCCATCCCCACCACGGCGGCGATGCAGAGCGCCAAGGTCGTCGTCGATCGCCTGCTGGAACGGCAGAAGCTCGACAATGGCGGCAGCTACCCGGAGACAGTTGCTCTGGTTCTCTGGGGCACCGACAACATCAAGACCTACGGCGAGTCCCTCGCGCAGGTCCTCTGGATGATCGGCGTCCGCCCCGTCGCCGACACCTTCGGCCGGGTCAACCGCGTGGAGCCTGTCAGCCTCGAGGAGCTCGGCCGCCCCCGCGTCGACGTCGTCGTCAACTGCTCCGGCGTCTTCAGAGATCTCTTCATCAACCAGGTCCGTACCAGAGTACTACTAGCACCAGTAGTAGTAGCAGTAGTAGCAGTGGATGACTGGTTTGTACTCACTAGGCTGTGGGTTTTTGGCGCAGATGAATCTGTTGGACAGGGCGGTGAAGATGGTGGCGGAGCTGGACGAGCCGGAAGAGATGAATTTCGTGCGGAAGCACGCGCTGCAGCAGGCGGCGGAGCTGGGGACGACGGTGCGGGACGCGGCGACGAGGGTCTTCTCCAACGCCTCGGGATCCTACTCCTCCAACATCAACCTCGCCGTGGAGAACTCCTCCTGGAACGACGAGAAACAGCTGCAAGACATGTACCTGAGCCGCAAGTCCTTCGCCTTCGACTGCGACGCCCCCGGCGTGGGGATGACCGAGAAGCGGCGCGTCTTCGAGATGGCCCTCGCCACCGCCGACGCCACCTTCCAGAACCTCGACTCCTCGGAGATCTCCCTTACCGACGTGAGCCACTACTTCGACTCCGACCCCACCAAGCTCGTGCAGTCCCTGCGCAAGGACGGCAGAAAACCAGGCTCCTACATCGCCGACACCACCACGGCGAACGCGCAGGTGCGCACGCTGGCGGAGACGGTGCGGCTGGACGCCCGCACGAAGCTTCTCAACCCCAAGTGGTACGAGGGGATGCTCTCCAGTGGGTACGAGGGCGTGAGGGAGATCGAGAAGCGGCTCACGAACACGGTTGGGTGGAGCGCCACCTCCGGGCAGGTGGACAACTTTGTGTACGAGGAGGCCAACGACACCTTCATCAAGGACGAGCAGATGCTGAAGCGGCTCATGGACACCAACCCCAATTCCTTCCGCAAGCTGGTGCAGACCTTCCTCGAGGCCAGCGGCCGCGGCTACTGGGAGACCTCCGAGGAGAACCTCGACCGCCTCCGCCAGCTCTACTCCGAAGTCGAGGACAAGATCGAGGGCATCGACCGTTGACCGCATCCGCCGCCGCCGCCGCCATCAATCCGGTCATTCATTGAGCTGGACTGAACAACTCCCTTTGATTCCTTCTTCAACCGATCGATCTTCTTCTGTACCATTCTCGAGAGAACCCCGGGGCTGATCCTCGCAGGACGCCCACCCCCTCCCCTTCAAGCTGTACCAACAAATTGCGATCGTCCTTCCAGTTGTTGTTGAGTTTCTCTGTAAGAAAAAAGTCTGGGCCTAGTTGACTCCTACCAACATTTTTCCATTGCCTGACTCTCATGAGCTGGGTCTAAAGGAGCTCGAGGAAAGGGATGATGACGTGGCAGACCCTGTCTCGCCCTTTTTTTTATAATAAAATAAATAACTTATATCGCACATTTTTTTTCTAAAGGATGTGATATTTTTCAGTCCCACTCCGGGGGGCTCTGAAAGTCCAAGCCCTCCTTCGCTGACCGGCCTCCAAGGTCAGTCAAAGTCGTTGACCATCCACTGAGCAACGGTCCAGGCCGTAAAACCACGTCCGCCTGTAGTGGCCCACGCAAGTCAACCCACGGAGGCCGCCGCGCCGCCACCGCTGAACCCACGGAGGAGGAGGTGGAGAATTCGTAACGGATCGGCTGAAGTGGGGAAGAAAGAAGGCTCCTGCGAGTTCGTCCTCATCTGGCCCTTCTCTCTGTGCTGACCCGGTCCTTGTCGGCTCACGTCTGCGATGTGATTGATATAATTCGGCTGCCGTTCGTTGGAAGGCGTGCTCCCATCCTGACTTCTCCCCCCCCATCCCGCTCCGGTCGACCTTCTCCACCCGAGTGCGGTGCGGTTTTACAGTCGCCGGTTTCTCCTCAGGCTCCCGCCGTAAACGGACAATTGCGCCGACGTGGGCAGAGACGTCTTCTATATATAGTAATTTAAAGGGCTACTGATCTGGTCGGGTTGGAGTTCGCGATACCTCCTTAGTCTCGGTAAAAGAGAAGAAGAGGAGGGCAAGGTTCGATCCTTCAAGCCTGGGAGGACAGTTCCGGGGGGGTTGGGGGGGAGCGATAGGAAGACGGAGACCGGAGTGGAGTGGAGAGGGGCTCGAGGTGCGGAAATCACGGTAGATTTGATGGATCAGGCAGCTGCGCAGCGCCGGCTGAGAGCGATCTCCGGGCACTTGATCAATTCCAGTGGCGAGCCTAGCCGGGGCCAGGAACAGTACGTCGTCGCCAGCCCAACTGCAGCAGAATTCGTTTACGGTATGTGCAGGATGCATAAATCTCGTTGAGACTGCGAAGCCGGAGATAAGATGACAGGACTCTTCAGTTATTCTGTAATCTTCCCCATCTCTTTCCGATTGTACTCCATGCGGAGGGAGGACTGTAACTAGGTCGATAGTTATTGAAGATTTCCGTGGATTTTTTTGACCTGTAAACATGTCACCTAAACACTGGTGGAGAACCTTAGTACCATGACTGCCCTGTATCATTATTCTGACCTCGGATGAACAGGAACTTAAAATGCTTCAAAGGAATAATAATTTACGAATCTAGCTCGAATTGGTCCTGTGAAGGTATTCGTCGGGAGATCGACCAGATGGTAGAATGTCATTTGGTCCATGCCTTAGTTATGTGGTATGCTGACGATAAGAGAAACATACTAGGCTTGAACTGTGTGGTATCAACCATCATATTACCTGTCCTTTAATCAGAGATAAATATTAGTTGGAGATAAAAAGCACTAGCTGACAAGTAGAAACATCTTGGAATGCGCGTACTATTTATGTACAGAACCCTTGTTTGCGTAAGGTCTCAAAGTAGTAATATCCAAGTCCTTTTCTCTTCCTGGAAGCTAGGTGTTTTGACGAGCTGAACAACCCTTATTGATGTCACCTTCATTACTACCATTGTTCATCATCTTACGGTAAAATTGTTATTATGCCAATTCTAAACTGTCATCTTTTCTGAGTATACAACCTTGAGAAAAAAATTCCGTATAAGTTTCATCATTAACGTTGACCTGGTTTGATTGATCTTCTTTATATGAGCAGATCAGGGTTACAGTGTTGTTCTTCCAGAAAAATTGCAAACTGGGAAATGGAATGTTTACAGGTAGCCACTTTAGCTGTCAACATCCCGAATTTCGTGATTATGTTCGTAACTTGCTAGTATTCCTGGTTGGCAGATCTGCACGTTTTCCTTTGAAGCTTGTAACGAGGTTCCCAGACCACCCAGACATTGGTACTCTCCACGATAATTTTGTGTAAGTCCTTGTAGCTAATTTCTCCTTTTTACCACCTCCATTTTAACGCCTATGCAGTGGATTACTGGACCTCAATTCTGCATGTTTTATCTTTCGAAATTATCTACTAATAGCCCAAAATGATTGGTACCCAAGTTAACATCAGACCCTTTGTTATGCTGGTGTGGTAATTCACCTGGTTACTTGTACCAGGCATGGAGTTGAGAGCTTCCGAGATTATAAATACTTGGGAACACGGATTAGAGATGATGGAACAGTTGGAGAGTATGTTATTTACCTATTTTATGGTTGAATGGAGATATTTTTTGAATTCTTTTGTCTGAACTCCTTTTTTTTTTTTACATTAAAGATACAAATGGATGACATATGGAGAAACAAGTACAGCAAGGACTGCGATAGGTTCTGGTCTTGTTTGCAATGGAATACCTCAAGTGCGTTATTTATATTCCAATTTTCATTTACATTCATTTGTTGTTATTATCCTACATTTGATGACAATTTTTTTGAATTTAGGTCTCTATTTTTCGTTAAGTTGTTTAATGGGTGAACTAAAGCAGATTATTATCCTACATTCATTTGTTGTCTTTTATCTTGTTGTAGGGTGCTTCAGTTGGACTATATTTTATTAACAGACCAGAATGGATCATTGTGGATCATGCCTGCTCTGCTTATTCCTACGTTTCTGTACCCTTATATGATACTCTAGGTAAGCTTCTCCCGATATGAAGCTCGTTACCTGTGCTTACGGACCAGAATGTTGCTTATCCGAAACTATGTTAATCACCGCAGGGCCAGATGCTGTAAATTATATTGTAAACCATGCTGATGTGCAGGCTATTTTTTGTCTACCTCAAACTTTGGACATTGTGAGTTTCATTTCACGCTTGGATCCTATGTCGTGTTATGATAGAATCATGCTAAGGCATATTGCATATCATCTGATAAAGGAAACTATAAGGACAATTTTTAATCATTGATTCATATCGTTGTTATTTTCCCTCAGAATTTTACTCCTCGCTATACACCAAATCTGGCAGAATGAGAAAATGAGATTTAGTACGATTTATCCTGTATTATTGCCTAAGGAATCGTGAAAATATTCTCCAGTATTGTTTTGCTATTGTGTGGGAGGGTAGAAATGTACTTCTTACATTCCAAAGTTGACATCAGTGTATATATAAATGCCAAATTTGTGCTTTCATCTTTCCAGAAAACTTTAACTGAAAAGCAATGCGTGGCTTTACACTACTGATTATGCTGTGATGATTGGATATTGTTGTAGCTTTTCTCGTTCAAAAAGTTTAACTGAATCTTTTATTTGCTTCTTCAATAAATGCTGGAAAGAATTCAAGTATAGTTCGTCAAGATCTTTAAATACTTTGATAAGTTTTTGCTTTATATTTGATGCATTTTCTTTGATGGAAATAATTTATCAGGTTTGTCATTACGCTTACACCTTATTTCTTATGCATAAACCTTTGACTGTACTTGCTCTAAATATTATTTTCACATTCCTATACCATTGTCCCCAATTTAGCTCATGTTGTTTCATTGGAACGTGCAGATACTAAGCTTCTTGTCTCAGATTCCATCCGTGCGTTTAATAGTGGTATGATAGGTTATTTTACGATTTCTTTGCTTAAATTAATTAGCATCTACTTTCCTATATTTTGTATTTTTGGTTTTCTTGAGCAGGTGGTTGATGGGGTTGATGAAAAGATGCCATCCCTTCCAGTTACCGCTGGTGTGAAAATTGTATCATACTCTAAGCTACTTCAACAGGTATTTTCTTTTTTAATCACTTTTCAAGTTTAGGTTTTTCTTACGGATGATAAATATTGACTGCATATTTTAATTGACCGAAGAATGTTTGAATTTTGGCTAATATACCTTCAGATATCTCCGATGAAATAGTAAACATTATTTGTTTGCTCTCTCTCTTATCATCTGATGCTAAGAAACTAACGATGCAATGATGGGCTGTCCGAATTCAAAAGATAATTGATAATTGCTCCAATGCTGAAAATTTGAATTTTCGGTAATAGCCCTGTGGACATTTTATAGTTCTGGTGTATGCTGCTGGACGACAACCTCCTTAGTGATTGTACGTGAAAACCAAATTTATATGCATTCTTCCTTAGATTACAGTCTTCGTTTCAAAAAGGAGGACGTTGTGAACATGTTTGTAGTAAATTTATAACTCCTTCGAGCTCCTTATATTAGTTCTTCAAATCCTCCATTTTTCATTGTTATGGGGTATGTGCAATTGTCCTTCAAGATCTAAAATTTTCATTTGAACTTGGTTCGTTTTAAATATAGACTTTTTGTTTCCTCACTCGAGGTACTTATGCCTGAGAAATTTTTATCTTCATAAAAAATCTGAAGGGTCTATACTTTTGCCCGCTACTTGTGGCAAGCTCCATCTATTGGCCTCTTATTTCTCTAGTTCTATAACCTATATTCTCTACGAAATCCAGAGGGGATTCGTGTTTTAATGAAATAATGTGATTCGTTAAACTTGCTTCATCAACCCAAGTTATTGAGAACAATAATATGATTATTATCCTAGTTCAAAAACTTACATTGACTTCGGGTTGCCGTAGATAACCTTTTTTTTCTATTTTTGCTTCCTCTTCTGATAGTGGTAAGTAGAGAAATTCATTCTTGAGAAGTAGCTTATGAGGCGTGGTTATGTCAGGTGAATATAAATGGCTAAGAAGGCATTTTATCTTTTTTCGTCTTAGAATGGGCATAGTCGTATGACACCCGACTGTTATCTTGTGGGTGGCTAATTTTTAGATTTCACATTCCGGGTACACCTGTACTCTCTTCTCTTCATACTACTATGAATTCTTCACATTTTACGGTCAAGTTCCGTAGGTCACCCAGGCCTAAATCCTAAAGGAGAAAAAAAGAGCAGAAAATGCGAAAGGGAGGGATTACATTTAATTTTTTTACTTCCCACGATATATCTGTAGGTCTACATGGTATATGAGTGCAAAAGAAGGAAATAACGTAAGTTCTATTTTGCATTAGATAAACTAGCTGTTTTCATCTCATTCATATTACGCGTCCCTTTGCTGAAAAATCCATATTAAGGCTGTATCTAAGGTATCTTATATGTCAGTATTTCAATGTGCATCGTGTTCTATACGTGGATACCACCCTAAGAAGCTAGCATCCTGAGTGTCAATTGCATTAGCCAGAAAAGTTCAGAGAGTCATTGATATTCTCTTTTTCTGAGTATTTACCCATCCATATCTACAGCCGTTATATATCGTATTATGTTTTGAAGACCAGTTGATTTCCTGATTTGATCAATCATTTCATTTCACCTCTTTTGCACTTGAAACTATTTCATTTTTCAGGGACGGAGCAATGTTCAACCATTTCGCCCTCCAAAGCCTGAGGACGTTTTTACAATCTGCTATACTAGTGGAACAACTGGAACACCCAAGGTACCTAGGAGAATGATATGAGTATAGGCTAGTCTGATGAATTCATAATGACTTGCAATGTGTTTCTACTTTCTTCTTTCCTCCTTTTAATCCATTTTCCCAATGAGTACCCTATTTCTTTCCTCTCGAATCTCTATTTGAGAAAATAAGAAAGATTCCATGATGGGTTTCATTTCAGGGAGTTGTGTTGACGCACAAAAATATGATTGCAAATGTTGCTGGTTTTAACACGAATGTCCCATTCAACCCATCTGATATGTGAGATAATCTTCCCACATATTTCTATTTTTCCCTGTTAAGATTATTACCAATGCCGGCATGCCTTTTACATGGCCAAAAGTTTGATATATTCTGCCACTTTTGCAGTTACATATCGTATCTTCCTTTGGCACACATCTATGAGCGTGCTAACCAAGTTGCATTAGCGTACTACGGAGTTGCTGTTGGTTTCTACCAAGGGGTACGAGCGTTTGTTGAAGAATTATTTATGTTGAATCTAATGTTATTTTTATTTTACAACCCTACTTCAGCAGCCTCTCATAGATAGCAAAAATAGTGTAAAAATGTAAGCAAATGGATCTCCCTATAAGATGAGTAATACTGGTGCTGATTATTTTTTCGTGTTCTGGTTAGGTTATTATCATTTCTTTCCTTTTTTCACTAACATTCAAAAGTAAATGTATCTTTCTGAAATATATGTACATACATAGTGCTGAATATGGTCATCTGCATCCAGGACAATTTGAAATTAATGGATGATCTGGCAGTGCTAAGACCGACGATTTTCTGCAGCGTTCCTCGTTTGTATAACAGAATCTACGCTGGGCAAGTTATTACGTTCCTTTTCACACCTGTGATAATTCTCACCAATTTGCCACAAATTTATTCAGGAATGCTTAACCTGTAAATTTTACAGCATTATGAATGCAGTAAAGACATCTGGGGCCTTAAGGGAGAAACTTTTTACCACTGCCTTCAATTCCAAGATGCAAGCAATAGCTAATGGTATTACTTTCTGTTAAATTTCGCCAGTTTTCGTTTGTTTGTTTCATGTTCTAGCCAATGGAAGAAAATACTGTCATTATAGCGGATATCCATTCTGTTTTACGTATTTCAGCTTTTTTCTGCAACTTGTTTTGGTGGCCTAGGTCGTTATTCTCTCTCTCTCTCTCTTACTTCCATTCTCGTTTTCACTTATTCACTCGCTCATTCACTCACTCACACTAAGGCATTTACAATGATATCAATTACACGTTCGTTAAAGAGCTATATTCTTAGCTTCAACATGATTGTTATTGATGGACTTTCCATCTGATCCATAGGGTTCAACTGGCTTAATGTTAAAAAAAATAAATCCCTCGTTTTTAATTAAACATTGCATTGGCTTGGTCTTCATGCTAATATGGTTCTATTTAGGATAAAATAAATCTCTTGCTAACGCATGCTTACATTTATTTTCCTTCCCAAGGTCACCATTTTAGTTATCAATAGAAGATGATGCACCACACTTTTGGCTTGAAACTAGGGGTGTCAATGAGCTGGGCTAGGCCCAGATCCAAGCGTGACACTGGAGTGGTTTCGTTTTTCAAGGTCCAGTCATGACCTGTGGGACACTGAAGGAATTGGGTTTGTGTCTAAACACGGGTGTGGGCGGAGTGGTTTGACTTGGAAGGGGTATGTGCCTCCATATTTTCGGCTCACTTCTTTCCAAAACTCAGGCCAAGCCCTGAAAAGTGCTGGACCAGCCTATTTCCAAGCCCAGAAAAAGGTGGACCAGGCTTCCAGGTTTGCCTGGCCTGTTGAGACACTGGATAAGATTCCTAGTAGTCCCAGAATGTACCACCAAATAGTTTCAAACTGTTACTACGGAAGTACGCAATATATATTACAAAACCAAACCAAAAGCACACCCCATATCATGATTTTAGCAGCCTGCTTACTGGTTACCCAAAATAAGACTAGCTTGATGAAGCAGCAATACAATACACGAACACCATAATTTGAAATTTATCAGACCAATATCTCACTCGGAGCCAAACAACACAGATCCTCTGAAATTCCATGACGAAGAAAGACATCAACCTACGGGTTTGCATCATGAACAAAAGTAATCATCATCATGCATATGGATCCTGTATCTTCCTTGAAGTAAACCTAGGTAGACAACTTGCATGCAGTCAAGGTTTCCAGAATCTGAATTTCATCTCAGTTTGGATTGGTTTGATCTCCTGATTCGGATCGCCAGCCTTATCACCTGGTCCAGAGGGATAAAACTGATTTGGGTTCCAATGTAAAGAAAATATTCAGTATTTTGTAAGTTTTCATGATTATACCGTTGTCAGGTAAACATATAAAATTAATGTTTAAACATTATTAACTGAACAGCTTCTGCCATACAAGATTGTCTCCCAGTCTCCATGGAGACAATGGGTGCAGCAGCAGTAGCTGCTGTTGTTATGTAATCAACAATAAGCATGCCCACTGGCAGAAAACACAAACTAACGTAAAGCCTTCTCCCTCTTTAAAATTCCAGCTGGGGACTGGGCATCAAGACCGTTTGGGAGATCCCTGATTATGGTTTGTGTTGGATGATTCTCTGAATCACAACATTGAAGGGCCAAAAAAGGGTGCATAAACAAAGGCTCTAGATAACTTGAAGAACAATACATTCTTTTTTACATTCATTTTCTTCCTTTATTTTGAAATATGTTCTTTTAACTATTTTCTCATTTCTCAGTTTTGCACCATACGGCATTAAATTAGGACTTTGAATTTAATTCAGGTAAAAAACCGTCACCTATTTGGGATAGACTGGTTTTCAATAAGATAAAAGCAAGAGTTGGAGGGCGTGTACGCTTCATGGGTTCTGGAGCTTCACCATTGTCTCCTGATGTCATGACTTTCTTGAGGGTGTAAGTTTATTTACTTGCTCATCATGTGTGCAGCATCTTCATTATTTTATGTTCCTTGATCCCTCTTCTTCACGATTTTTCACATTTTTAAAAGTAATGTGTTTGCCATTTTGAATAGATGCTTTGGTTGTGAAGTTATTGAGGGTTATGGAATGACGGAGACTTCATGTGTTATAAGTGCTATGAATCCTGGTGACAACCTCACAGGTCATGTTGGTTCTCCTAATGCTTCATGTGGTGAGTGTTGCTTTGCTTAGGGTCTTCATGTTTCGAAATTGACTGCATGATCTCTTTTCTCAATTTCAGTCTTACCTTGACTTCCTATTTAACATGATGTGGGTTCAGTTTTCAAATCTTATTGATAGTTTCGATCCATAAGTGTGTGCACGCGAGAACGGAACATAAGATGAACTGCTGTCAAATTTTATTGTTGAAGAAAAAATTATTTACTGAAATGACAACATAAGAATTTTTTCCATATACTTCAAATTTTATCTTCGAAACTTTGTAATAATTATTTATTTAAATCTTTTTACTTTCCTCAGAAATCAAACTTGTTGATGTTCCTGAGATGAACTACACGTCTGATGATCTCCCATATCCTCGTGGTGAAATTTGTGTGAGGGGTCCCATTATTTTCCAAGGCTACTACAAGGATGATTTGCAGACGTAAGCTGGTTCCATTTCTTTAAACTTTGGTTGTTCTTTGTTCTTGATTTAACAGATAAATAACGTGACAGGAGAGACGTGATTGATGAAGAAGGATGGTTTCATACTGGGGACATTGGACTTTGGTTACCTAGTGGGCGCCTGAAGATCATTGATAGGTAAATTTCATGAATCACACAACTTTGAAATTCTGCTTCATTTTTCCCTCTGTGTTAAAGTATCTGAGAAGGTTCATGAATTTCTTACTGTTTAGTAGTAGAATGCTACTGGACTACCCACCTCTGTGTTAAAGTATCTGAGAAGGTTCATGAATTTCTTACTGTTTAGTAGTAGAATGCTACTGGACTACCCACCTCCTGTGTTCTTCCTCCTCTCTGCATTAAAATTCTACCTAAAAGAAATAGAAAACTCACTAACATCAATCTATCAGCCGGCAATTTCTCATAATATAGTTCCTAGCTGTTACCGAATTCATTAAAGGTTGACCGGGCGAGCTTTATGGGAACAACGTAAGACTTCCACTAGTCTTTTAACGAATTTCTTCTTACCGCATTCTAAAGTTTCTATCCTGTTTGGCCATTAGCTATATATCGTTGACTTTCACCGACCTTGACAAATGTCAACTGGGCGGATATCTTAAGATATATGATATGGCGCCTTCAGACAGAGGGCTCCACGGTGGCGAATTTTCATCAGCAGGGGTTCCTAGTGAATTAGTCCCACTTTTTATTGCCGTTGACAGGCCCCATAGTTTGAATGGTTAGTCTCAACGTCAGTCTCTTCTAGCATTAGTATCCTCCATAGAGAGAATCACATTCTGTCCATTTTATTAGTTCATCAACAATGTGAAAGCATCAGCTAAACACCTAATGGCTTAATGAGGATCACTGATTGTCTTGTTCAGAAACTTTACTAGGCTACAAACCGAATATGGTTCTCTTGCCTCTTTTGCGTATGATTGTCTTGTTAATGCAAGGAGATTGTATTGCCTGAATGGAGATCTTATCATGGGATGTATTGGAATTGGTTTTTCAGTTTTAATTCCTATAATTCTCCAGTAGTTAACCAAGATAAGAAATTATTATATTTCTTGTTAGCGTTAATGGCATGAAAGTCCATATTCCTCACTTAAATGGCCCAATGATTTCCGCTGTATTCTATTCATGGTAATTCTGCAGAGGATAATTGCTGCGGTTGACTTAATGAACAATTTTACGGGTTTATGTTTTCCTAGCCATTTATTTTCTGCATTTTCCTCTTTTTTTCTCTTGGTCAGCCTGTTTTCACCTGTCCCTTGAAACCGTGAAGATTTTTCCTCATAGTTATCCTTTGCACTCGCTTATTTTATGTCTTTTTAGGTGGATTTCTTGATTTTCTAGGATTATATCCTTGAAAATTAGGGTCTAATTTCCATTCGTTGCCCTTTTTTTGTCTGATTTTTTCGTTGATAATTATTTATATCGAGTCTAATGATCCTCCACTCTGGCAATAGAAAGAAGAACATCTTTAAGCTGGCCCAGGGCGAGTACATCGCTCCAGAGAAGATTGAGAATGTATACGCCAAGTGCAAATTCGTCGCCCAGTGCTTCGTTTATGGTAAGCCGGATCTCCAATCTTTCTGGAGCTCATCCGCCCGCATTTCATATAATTCGCAAGATAAATTATTAATACATATCAACGCGCCTGATTTCGTCTGCGGACTTTCGGATCGGTTGACATTTCTCATGGAACAGGGGACAGCTTCAACGCCAGCCTGGTAGCAGTAATCTCAGTTGACCAAGACTCCCTGAGGGGCTGGGCATCATCAAACGGCGTTCAGGTGCTTGCTTCCCAGCGTTGACTTTTTTAAAGATAAATCCAGCTTGTGAGGCTATAACCGGCCATCTGTTCTCCGCAGTACGAAGATCTGGAGCAATTGTGCAGGGATCCCAGAGCCAGAGCTGCTGTTCTGGCGGACTTGGACGCCATTGGAAGGGAAGCCAAGGTTGGGTGCCCATGCCCTTCATAAATCTAATATAATATCACCATTTTCACATAGTTTCAAATCTATAATTCCCATATCTTCTCATCTTGGTCTACAGCTGAGGGGATTTGAATTCGTCAAAGCCGTGACCTTGGTGCCGGAGCCTTTCACCTTGGAGAACGGCCTTCTCACTCCCACATTCAAGGCAAGCCTTCCAGCTCTCCCATATCAATAAATAAATAGTTTAAACTAGATTAAGTAAGTCAACGCCCCCCCCCCCTTTTGGTCCCTGACTTCACCTAGTAATAACTTTCTTAATTTTATTTTCTTAGATTAAAAGGCCTCAAGCAAAGTCATACTTCAGCAAGGCGATTGCCGACATGTATGCTGAGCTGGCAGCCTCTGACCCGGATTCGAAGAAAGGGCTTTGACCGGGTGAAGATTTTTTCCATTAAAAGGGAAAAAAAATAAAAACTTATGTATGTTAGTGATGGAGAGAACATCATGCAGAGATCACCAACGTCCGGCAATTAATGATACACTCAATGTGAGGCCTCTCTTTTCTGCCAGAGGGCCTGATGCTATGACTCATTAGTGAGCCCTCCAAGCTCCTATAGTTACTAATTCCGGCAAGTTACTCTGCTGTGGCTTCTTTGACGAATGCTGCGCCTAAAGTCAACGGCCTCGTATTTTTTCCGAGTTTAGGCTGAAGAACAAACCGTGGGTGGTCCAAGAAGATGGGCCGGGCCGCCGGGCTGATAAATCCAGGTCCATAAGAAGCCCGAAAAAAGTTCACAGTACGGGTCCTTGTGAAGACCGGACCCAGCCCGTCCAGCTGCATAGGACTTCATAGGGCCCCAGTGCACTGTTTAGGAGGCTCATTCGTCATCTGGTTCTGAAGACAGTTTAGAACTTATGTTTAATATTTGGGAGTTGTTTCATGATCAACCAAATAGCAATCTCTCTCTCTGTCTCTCTCTGTCTCTGTCTGTCTGTCTGTCTGTCTCTCTCTCTCTCTCTCTCTCTCTCTCTCTCTCTCGCTATCTATCTATCTATCTATCTATCTCGCTTTTAGCTTCAAAGGAGTTCAACTTGTGGTCTATTATTGGTATTTTCTCAAAGTCGTAGTCCAGTCTAGCCATGAACTTTTAGACTTGGGGGCTGTATTTTCCAAGGTTTGGGGTAAGAAAAAAGCCCATCATAGTTGGATTGTTCTTTTTTCTTCATGGTGTATGATTATATTGAGACATAAATGATTGATATGAGCCAACAAAGTTTTTGATCCACGATCTCTATGAGTCCTCATGCTAGGTGGGCTGAAATTAGTTGACTTGATTGAATACCATGGTCCTTAAGATATGAGTAAACAAATATCAGAGTCAACGTGTAAAAATAATATAAATTTCATAAATCAGTTCCTTCTCACCATCGAAATATTATTAATGTCAATCTGATATTTTTTTACTCACCAGCCCATCTTGGTATGATTATAAATAAGATTTTGAATTATTTCTATTCAAGTCAATAGTACTCTGATTAATGATGATGTGTTGATGATGAAAAGGTATTAATCCAATAAATTTCATGCCATTTAAATAATAAAATATTATAACTTAGCAAAAATAGGAGGTTTACCATGTTGTGGAATATCACTCACAAGATCTACTTCTCAAAAGGTTCATCACAATAAAAAAATCAAGGACAAGTTCAGGAAAATTCAAGCCTGAGATCACTTTTTTATGAAATTTCTGATTTAAAATATTTAAATTGGTGGTAGGTTCATGTAATGCCTATTTATATTTAAATAATAATATCTTAAATATTCGTGTTTAATCCTAGCATACCAATTTTCATTAGCCTATGGAGCCAAAAAAACTAAATTATTCATTTTATTTTTTAAAAAATAATAAATATACATAATGAAAATATTTTCTCAAAAACCCACAAAAAATTGTTTTGGAATAATAACTGACAATGGGATAGTTTGGATAGCATTAGCAGCGGCGGCGGTGGCAGAGCCATCTTTGAACCGGGCTAGACCGGCCGGATTAGGAGGGGCCATCGAGAGCCCATTTTTCCAGCCGGTTCAACATTTTCGGCCGCCCGGTCCGGTCCGGTTTACTTCAAGCTCTCCGCCGCAAAACCCTGACGCCTGCCTCCTCTGAGCCCTTGACTGCTCTCAGTTTTCCTCTCGCTTCCCCCCTGGCGCCGTCGGCATCGCCGCCTCCCCTGTAGCCGCATCGCTGCCAAGACTATTGGTGATTCTGTGGGTTATCGCCGGCGCCGGCAGACGCTCTACTCTTGAGTGGTATTCTCCTCTTTTTGCCGCTGATGAGGACGTCTGTTTATCTTGTCCTTCAAATCTGGGTTATAGATTTTGTTGGGTTATTTTTTTTTCTCTACTGGGTTTCGTGAATGTCGGTTTTTTCATTCGAATCTCACTCCTGATGCAGTCGGTGCATCGCTGCCATGGGTTTGATCTCCCAGAACGCTCACACTGGGAGGCAGAGGAAGAAAGGAACGGATGAAGAGGGAGACCTTGAAGAATCTCATCAGGTTCATGGGGAAGAGGAGGCTGTTGGAGCAGAGGTATCTGGTTCAACCAAGTTGAAGAGGAAGAAGAGAAAGAGGAAAGATGGCGCCCCGACTGAAGCAGAAAAGGACGCAGACCTGGAGAGCGCAGAAGAGAAGAGGCTGGAGGGGCTCCTGTTTGGTTCACTTTATTCTCTCCCAGATTTTGGTAAGGAAGGGAATGGAGATGGAGGAGAGGTGATTGATGCATCTGCTGCGTCACAATTTTATATCGATAAAACTGGGGGCGATGGCGCAGTGGTTCATGAAGAGGACTTGCAGGCGCAGGTTCGGGAATATGAGCAACTCGACGAACTCAGAGATTCTGTCTGGTTTGACGACGAAGAAGAGAAGGTCAGAGTGGACGTCACAAATGTCAACAGATTGAGGAAGCTAAGGCAAAAGGCCGACGAGAGTGTCATCTCTGGCAGTGATTTTGTTTCACGATTGCGCGCTCAGCATGTTAGACTCAACCCCGGAACAGAATGGGCCAGAATTGGCTCCAGGTCGCGTGAATACCATTCCTCTGATGATGAATCTGGTGAGGGAAGTGGGGTCACTGCTCCCCATGATGCTGAAGATAAAGGCGTTAGTATTCTTCAGAGCACCGATGAACTCCTCGTAAAAGATGGGTCAAGGCTGCTTCCTGGAATCCTGGAGTACTCAAGGCTGATAGATGCTAACATTGAGGAATCATCAAATGGTCCCATAAGCTCCGTGCAGTTCCATAGAAATGCTCAATTACTGCTGGCTGCTGGGTTGGATAGGCGATTGCGGTTTTTTCAAGTCGACGGAAAGCGTAACACTCGAGTGGAGAGCATCTTCATTGAGGACTGCCCCATTCGCAAGGCTTCGTTCCTGCCTGAGGGCTCCCAAGTCATAATTTCAGGGAGAAGGAGGTTCTTCTATTGTTTTGATCTAGTAAAGGCTAAGTTTGACAAGGTGGGCCCCTTGCTTGGTCGGGAAGAGAGAAGCTTAGAATCTTTTGAAGTCTCTCCGGACTCTGGTACCATCGCATTCATCGGTAACGAGGGGTATATCCTTTTGGTATCATCGAAGACGAAGAATCTGATTGGCACTTTGAAGATGAATGGCACTGTTCGTTCCTTGGCTTTCTCGGATGATGGGAGAGAGCTAGTGAGCAGCGGGGGAGATGGGCACATTTATCACTGGGATCTTGGGACAAGAAAGTGTTTTCACAAGGGCGTCGATGAAGGTTGCCTGACGGGTTCTGCACTCTGTACTTCTCAGGACAGCACCTTGTTTGCTGCCGGCTCGAGCAGCGGAATAGTGAACGTTTACTCCCGTGAAGAGTTTCTTGCCGGAAAGAGAAAGCCCGTGAAGGCAATCGAGAATCTCACCACAAAAGTTGATTGCTTGAGATTTAATTGCGACGCCCAGATGCTGGCCATTTGCTCGTCGATGAAGAAGAACAGCTTGAAGCTCCTCCACGTGCCATCGTTCACTGTATTCTCCAACTGGCCTGCTCTGGGGTGCAACCTTCAGTACCCACGCTGCTTGGACTTCAGTCCTAATGGAGGATTCATGGCCGTTGGAAATGCTGCTGGAAAGGTGTTATTATACAAGCTTCACCACTACCAAAAGGCCTGAATAGTGAACAGGCGCTTGCATCTTTGTTCAGGTATCATTCGATTAGGGTTGGTTCATTGTCTGTTGATCTACTTTGATGTCTCTAAAATATCCTGTTTAGGGTTTATGCTTACCTATTTTATCAGAGAATAAAATCCTTTTCTGGGTACTGAATTAGAATGATTTCTGGGTACTTCATCCCACTAACTGATGATTATAAACTAAGAATCTTTAATAAAGTCTTCTAAGAACACGATTTATTTGCTTGGTAGTCAACGGCGAAGGCTGTTTTTTGTTCTTCCAATGTTTGTTGGGTTGACCCACCTGCGGGTTGACTTTGTTTGAGCCTGGTGACGAATCAGTCATTCTCCTGCCCCGTTCATGACAGGCTCTTGAAGATGTTGACAAGAACTGTGCTGCAATTGGGCGTTTACTCTCTGGATATGGTGAAGCCGGACCAGACCTTGAACAGATCTCTGCGAGAGGCTCAGGAAATCTTCTAGACTTGCTATTTTTGGCATGCGCGTGTCTGCTCATCAGTAGATACCCGGCATTTCTTCCTTGTTCTATATTAATTTTCATAACTTCCAATGCCTATTGAGCAGTTCTTCATGTGGGTTCTTCTTGAATCATCTGGTGAGATGGAGCAAAATTGCTGACTTTGCCAAAATTTTTGTTTCCATCATTGACCGTTTATTTCTCCGAGATCCGTTATGATCTGGGCCATTCTTCATCAGACATTGGTGATTATGGAAATAAATAGCAGAAGAGTTGACCACGTGTGGGGAGAACTCTAGGATTTATTTTTATTTTATTTTTAATCTGTTTTTTTTCTTCTTCTGTAGCTTGTCTAGGATCAGGTGATCTTGGGTTATTTTTTTCTCATTTACATGTTTTTTTATGGAAAATGATTTATTTAATGATAGCATAACCGCAGTCTTTCTTATTTTTATTAATGTATTATTATTTATCTATTTTTTTAATTAATAATAGCGTTGGAACCATTGTGATTTTGACCATGAAGTACTATTTTTCAGAAATAATTTTTGGGTAATATCAATATCACAACTCGTAATAAATACCCTGGAATTTCCTTGAATTACATATATACTCTGTCCGTAAAATGTCGGTGATTGGGCCCCATCGGAGACGAACGAGGAGGCCACGGGGAGCAGGTGATCACTGACGACGAGACTGCTCAAGGGTCGCCGTCCGCTCGGCATGCCACGTGTCGCTACCCTCTCCGTACTACATCGTGGATCCTAATATGTGAGAATTTTAATATTGTAAATCCTGAAAAATATTTTCGGGTGAGATAAAATAAATAAGAGGCCGTGGTTGGTGACATTTGGGAGCTTTGTATGGTTTTGAAAAAATATCAACGTTATTTAATAATTAAATTACGAACTTTTTTACCAAAAGAAGAATTATATTTAGATATTCCGCAGAACTTACTACAGCCAGGAGAGGGGGAGAGAGAGAGAGAGAGAGAGAGAGAGAGTGGAGTCCAAGGAAGGCAACGTGACAAAAAGAGGAGAGGAAGACGGGCATGGCAGAGGGAAAAATGGCGGATCCTCCTTTTTTCTGATCACTCTTCTAGAGAGAGAAAGCGGAGGGACTACTGTCTCAGTCTGCGGGGAGGGAAAGCCCGTCGACAGCGAAGCTCCAACAGCAAGGAAGAGAGAGAGAGAGAGAGAGAGAGAGAGAGAGAGAGAGAGAGAGAGAGAGAGAGCTCTGGTTGTCGGCGGTGCAGAGATCTGGTCGCCATCTTCTTGCTCCTCACCGACGAGCCCGTGTTCAGTTCTGGAGTAGCCCTCGGAGGAGAAAATGCTGGTGCAGGAGCGAGCTTCCCACGCCGCCAAATCCTCTCTCTCCGACGAGGAGGAAGACCAGCGGGAGCCCTCCGCTGGCAACGGCGGCGCCACCCGGCGGGACTACCCCCACGCCGGCCATCTGCGGGATTACCGCTTCTCGCGGCCCAAGAGCCTCGAATTCTCCACCTGGTTCTCCGACAACCTCTACAAGATCGTCGCCATCTTCCTCCTCGCCACATCCGTCGCCGCCCTCTTCTTCCTCCGCAACGTCGGCGACACTGCCGCCCTGCTCTGCTTCCAGTCTCGCATCGCCGGAGACGCCCAATCCTCCGCCTCGCGCCTCGCCTTCCCCCATGTCTCCTGGAGAAGAATCCCCCCCATTCCCCCTCTCCCAGGCCCCACCGCCGCCTTCCGCGCCGAGCGCTGGATCGTCGTCTCCGCTCCCCCTTCCCCCCCTTCCGATTCCCTTCGCCGTCTCGTCCGGATCCGGGGATGGCAGCTCCTCGTCGTCGGCAACTCCGCCACTCCCCCAGACTGGTCCCTGAAGGGCTCCATCTTCCTCTCCCTGGAGGACCAGGCCCGCCTCGGCTTCCGCATCCTCGAGCACCTCCCCTACCGATCCTACGTCCGCAAGACCGCCGGATACCTCTTCGCCATCCAGCACGGCGCCCGCAAGATCTTCGACGCCGACCGCCGCGTGGAGGTCCTCGGCGACGATCTCGCCGCCCGCTTCGACGTGGACCTCCTGGGGGACTCCGGGGCGGCGCAGCCGCAGCAGCTCCTGCTCCAATACAGCCACGAGGATCCCAATCGCACCGTCATCAACCCCTACGTCCACTTCGGGCAGAGATCTGTGTGGCCGAGGGGCCTCCCCCTGGAGAATGTCGGCGAGGTCTACCATGAGCAATTCTACACGGAGGTCCTCGGGGGGCGGCAGTTCATCCAGCAGGGGCTCTCCAATGGCCTCCCCGACGTGGACTCCGTCTTCTATTTCACCCGAAAGTCAACGGCGGTGGAGACCTTCGACATCCGCTTCGACGAGAAGGCTCCCAAGGTGGCGCTGCCGCAGGGCACCATGGTCCCCGTCAACTCCTTCAACACCCTCTTCCATTCTCCGGCCTTCTGGGGCCTCATGCTCCCGGTCTCTGTGAGCACCATGGCCTCAGACGTGCTCCGCGGCTACTGGGCACAGCGTATTCTCTGGGAGATCGGCGGCTATGTCGCCGTCTATCCCCCCACCGTTCATCGCCCCGACCAGGCCGAGGCCTACCCTTTTGCCGAGGAGAAGGATCTCCATGTCAATGTCGGGCGCCTGATCAAGTTCCTGGTTGCTTGGCGCTCCAACAAGCCGACTTTGTTTGACCGGATACTGCAGCTCAGCTATGCCATGGCGGAGGAGGGATTCTGGTCTGAGAAGGATCTGAAATTTACAGTAGCATGGCTTCAGGATCTGGTGGCTGTCGGGTACCAGCAGCCGAGGCTGATGTCGCTGGAGCTGGACCGCCCGAGGGCAGCCATTGGCCATGGCGACAAGAAGGAGTTCATCCCCCGCAAGCTTCCGTCCATGCACCTTGGCGTGGAGGAGACGGGAATGGTCAACTACGAGATCGGGAACCTCATCAGGTGGAGGAAGAACTTTGGGAACGTTGTGCTTATCATGTACTGTAGTGGGCCTCCTGATCGGACTGCTCTAGAGTGGAGGCTGCTCTATGGTCGGATATTCAAGACCGTTGTGATTCTCTCAGAGCAGAGCAATCCGGATCTTGCCGTGCAGCATGGCCGATTGTCGCATGCATACAGGTGGGTCCCTGGCTCTCTTTCCTCGTTTACTTCTTTGCTATGCTATGGTATGCTATACTTTTCTAAGTCCTTCTGTAACACTCATTATTTAGCTTCTGCTGTGTTTTTTTCTCTGAGTTTGTGCTTTCCTTTATTTTTCGTAAATTCTCAATGTGAGATGCCGGGTAAAATATTTTGGGAGAAATTTCTCCTCCGCATGGAGGAACACAGTGTTGAAGAACGCCATGGTGATCTTTATCAATCGACCATCATCTGATTGATGTGTGACAAAAATAGGTGTAGGGTTCTATTCAGTGGATCTTTGATGACTATGAGGGGATGCTGATATGGTGAAGGTGCAACATGGGAAGGGCGTGCCCAAAAGGTAGGGAAATAATGGTGATGAAGCAACATTGGTGATAGCTTAAGAAGGCGCAAGTATGGTTCTTGAACAAGTCACTTGTTCGATTAAGTTCATTTTCTTCTGCAGTCTTGGATTCTAGGATGATGGGATGACCCTTGGGATACTGATTAGAGGACGTGTATAGATTGGAAGCACTGGGAAGGGCTTTTGTGAGTTATGCTGTACATATTTTTAGTTGTGAGGTGTAAAGGTCTTTGTCATGTTTTCTTCTGTCTCGGGGATGGATGCCATTTTTATTTTATTTTTTTCTTGTATCTTAGCTTATTTCTGAAGTTTAGATTATGCAGTAGCTTATCTCTATCAATAATTATTATCGGGACATAATTGGTGCTAATGAAGTCAATATGCGACATGCTACTGTGCTCCCGTTCTTTGTGGAATCTGCATGAGCCAAAGAGATGAAGCTGCTTCTTTTGCAGATCAGTATCAGATGACTAATTAAACTTTCTAAGTTCTCATCCTGCCATCTCCCAACCAATAACACTATTCTTGGGCTTCGGGCATCCGTCATCCACAACGACAAGAAAAAGGTGGATCCAAACGTTTCGTTAAGTACCGTGACCCTGGCTCCCATTTCTCTTTTTGCTCCCCGTCTCTCTACCTCCTCTTCTCCCTAATCGATTCTTACAGAGACCAACCCATTTTAGGAGGAATTCATTTCATCTCAGCTAGTCTGCTCGTGGTTGAAACTCCTGCTAGCCTGGTGTCACTGCTGGGGTTCCTGTTTCAACTGGGTAAGTGGATGGCCCTTTTCATCCCTTCAAGTTTCTTTCCGGAAGAAGTGGGTCGAAATGCATGCATACATCAGACTTATGGGACAACTTGTTCAAACAGATGGATTATACTTGGTTCTATGTCATCTCAAGGACCTGGGTGAGGTTGGAGCTCCTGGTGTATTTAAGAGCAAGACATGAGGATCTATGTTGAGTAATGACTCACGTTGTCTTTGATCAGAGGAGCCAAGCATGGATACTTTCTTTTTCCTTCACAAATACCTCTAGGCTTTGGACAAACTTTTGTTGACGGAGAGACTGTATTACAAATTCATAGAAATGCTATTTCATGGACTTATGGTAGTGAGAGTTGATTGGTTCATCCGAATATGCTTAGGACTCGGAAGTTGATAATCATGTTGATAACAGAAAAGTTATCTTACTTTCACCTGATAATCACGCACTTTTCGAATCTTAATTTCACCTCATATAGGTTGAGAGAGGGTTTGATCAGTGAAAATAGCTTATCTTTTGCCCAATTTCTCTGCTGGGCTCTGCTGAGGTGAGCTGACGTTTTGTTTCTGATATCACCCCCCCTGTTCCAAATTCCTCTTGGTTGGTAAAAATAGGCATGATCCTCAGACTTTACCCACACCTTATCAAGCTCTAGGGTTGGTGTCTGCTGAGTCCTTATCTTTACTAACGACTTGTTGGGAAGTCTGGAAGAACAATGGCCCTCACTCCTGAGTGTTGCTGTGATTAGTTTGCCTTTATCTAAAATTGATGTGTTGATTTCCCGCGGGGAAGGCTGCAGCCATTCAAATCTGTGTGTCGTCTTGGTGGCCTGATGGTTGGTGTTCAGGCTTGAAGTATCAACATTCTTGGAGCAACCAGAAAACAGATAAAAAGCATGCTAAATAATCAGATCACGACTTTATTTAAATGGCTCTTTGTTTCCCTTCTGGTCAAATCATAACCGTGGACAGTAGAAGTGAGATAATTTTATTTTTATTCAAAATTTATATATGGTATTATAATTTGAGATTTTTTTTTCTATTTTTTTGTAAAAATATGTTTTTCTCAATGTTACAACGTATAGCTGGACGTTTCGCCTTTGAGATGGGTACTTCTTTTTTATTTCCATCCTCCATTAATGGGAAAGGCAATTTAGCTCCACCAAAGCCCATCCTATAACCTCTGCTTTTCTTTGCTGCTCTCTCATACATGTGGTGCTGCAGATATCTTCCCAAGATCTTCGAACAGTTCACTGGGGCGGAAGGGTTTGTATTTCTCCAAGACGATATGATTCTCAACTACTGGAACATCCTGGATGCCGATAAGACAAGGCTGTGGATCACAAACAAGGTAAGATTACAGTACACAGCAGTGCATAACATATCATAATGAGAATTATCCGGCCATCCAACCCAAAAATAGCAAACTCCATGCCCATGTTTATATCAATTTTATCTCTAATGACCAAAATGAGACTTTTCATATCCGCAATTTAAACGGGAGCAACCAGTGGGTGGGGGCTCATGCCATGTCAGATTGAGTTATTGGATCATCCAACTCAAAAAAAAAAGAAAAAATGCGAAAAAATCACAACTTTATCTCCATGTGATGAACCCAATACGGAACTACTCTCACAGAAACATGACTCTCCATGTATCATGGAATTTTATATCTCTTGGAATGGGGTTATCTCGCAGGTCCCGAGTTCCTGGTTTACCGTCGATGCAAATAGCAACAGTTCCAAATGGGTCATGGCGCAAAGCCAGATGGTGAAGAAGATTGTGGGCACCCTACCCGTTCATTTCCAGGTCAACTACAAGGAGAGTATTAGCGACGACAAGATGGCCCTCTGTAGCAGCGAGATATTCTACGTTCCCCGCCGCCTGGTGGAGGACTTTGTCGATCTCGTGGGGCTGACCAAGGACGTTGACCTCCACCAGATGGCGGCGGTGCCCATGTTCTTCATGGCCATGGAGCCGCCCAGCAGCTTCGACTCAGAGGCCCTCTCTTCCATTGTGTACAATAAAAATCTCCCTTCCAATGCCTCTTGTTCAAGCATCTACTCCACCAAGGCGCCTGCGGTCTACCCGTGCAATGTGCGGAGCGAGGTGGACTTCATAAAGCTGATAAGACTAATGGCTCCAGGAGACCCCCTTCTGATGGAGCTGGTGTGATCCCTTTATGAGGCTGGGAGAAGAGGGTTGACCTTCTGTGATCTCTCTGACTTCAGACGATGCCCATGTTTCTTCAAGGTGGGAAAGGGGGGGGGGGGTTGACTGTAATTTTGTCTTTTCTCAATTGTATGCCGTGCCCTTTATTCATCTTATGCAGATGTGACCTGCATCAAAAAATGGAAAGGATTTTTTTTTTGCATATTTTCCAAATGGAAAGAATCTTTCTTAATTTAATTTACCAATGAAATTAGGGTCTTGAGATGGGTTTCATTCTGGTGCTTAGTTCAGGCGAGTTATTCCAAATGAGAGAGAAAATAGTATGGGAATTATGCTTGCCTGAGAGTGACTGATGATGTGATATGATGCGGCCTACTAGCGTAGTTTTATTATCGAAGTCGTTTGATAGGTATCCTGAGCGAATGGAAGCATGCTGAAAATGCCCACCAGCCCAAAAAATCACCTACCGCTAAAGGCCCAACTTATGACTATTGAGCTGGATCTGGTCTTGACATTGTATGAGAAAGTCAGAGCTTGTTTCTTCTCACCATGGAGGTAATTTTTCAGGCCTTTCTTCAGAATTATTCTTCGCCTAGAGATTGTAGAGAGAGAGAGAGAGCAAGAGAGAGCAAGAGAGAGAGAGAGGCCTATATTATGATACAAGAAAACGGGGTTCTACTTTCTCCATTCCTATAAGGCCTATATGGAGTATTTCTCTTGCTATGTACTTGTACGTCATGTTCATCTGGACACCAATAAGATTCAATCACAAATTTGAATTAGACATCCAAAACTTGTAAGCTTGGATCGTTGTAGAGTTATGGTGAGTTTTTTAAAATATTTAATATAAAAAATAAAATAAGAAAAATGCCTGCACATTATATTTATAAAATTTGAAAAATTAAAACTAATCATCTTTGAGAACACATTAATAGTGCATTAATAAATAGACATTAGACTAGTAATACGTACAGTTTGGATACATTAGTGTTTTAAAATTAAGTTTAAAATATTTTAAATATGAGAGTATTGAACTTGAGGATTAATATTAATCCCCAATAATAACCATTTTATTTTAACTTAACCAAAAACTTAAAGGCAGCCATAGTTTGTGGATCCAACGTCATTCAAAGCCAATGGAGCTCGATCCAACCTCATTGTGAGTCCTTGCCCTGATAATGGATGACCATGGGAAGGAAGTCAATAAATACCGTACGATGCGATCAAATGGATCAAAATCCTCCACCATAGAGTGGTTTAGGGTTTTTAAGTTGTGGTTCATTTTGACCTGGCAGCGCCCAAATTCATTCAAGACACTGTTGGGGATGGTGTCAAAGGACTCATTATTTTTTGCTAGAATATGCTCAAGATGAATCTAATTTTCTGATAAATTTTGGGTAGTGCTGCTTCACAAATTGATTTTTTTAATCTAAAAAAACGATTTTCAGAAAATATCCATCCCTAGAAATCACACGAAAATATGATCTGCTATGATGAAGTAAATGAGAAAATCATAGTGGTTCTCAGTTGGGACATCCACTTTCTCTTCTATGATCAGGCAGAACCCCAAGGATCTCGGCCACATGTTTCTGGTTACAACCATCTCCTCGCCAAGGCAGGCCAACAAAAGCTTTCACCCAGAAAAAGAAAGAGGTGCTACAGAGGACAAAAGGAACAGAAGAAATCGCTACGGAGATTATTGAGATCAAAGAGAAGATTCGACTTGCCCAGCAGAGAGAATCCCCAGTACGTACCCTTCTGTTCTAGACTTTGGGCAAAGCCACAGAGGGGCATCGCCCCAGGGTATTCCACAGTATGTAATCTCCAGACACAGCCTGTTAGATGAACCCCATTTCAGTCTGACATAACGTAACATAATTGAGCAACTAGTGCACGGACTTCATGTCCCATTAATTATTTTTTATAATAATAATAATAATAATAATAATAATAATAGTCGATAATAACCATCAAGACTGAAACTGAAACACGGATGAGCTATTGAAAACCCTAAATGTGTTCTTCATGATGAGGAAAAGAGCCGTGATTTTATGTTCATTGGGATTTGTATAAGTACCTGCATGGAGTACTCAACTGGAGCTTTAATGGCAGGGTAGATGCTCACCTGCATGAAAGTCACAAGCCATCGTCAATAAAATCAGAGAAATTTATGCTCTAAGAGGATTGCCGTCAGGTGGTTCAGATTGGGGCGGTGCTGCTGAAGCCTGGGCCCTGGTTTAGCCGCGCCAAGGCCATCAAGTCTGCATTTCAGAAAAGATTTGCACTTGTGGTGGTGGTGATTGTCAGGTGTAGGTCAACCCCTTGACATAAGGTTCATTCCAAAAAGTCAAAGGGATCCTTCTCTCCCAGTTTGTTAAATGGCAAGCAAGATTATTTATGCAGTTGGTTGCCCCAAAAAGGTTATACTTTGCGCTTTTGGAAGCGGGTACTTGGAATCTGGTGCAAACGGCCATAGTGATTCATCAAAGGGAGAACCTGGCTGGGGCAATATCTTGGGATGGAGACCATATGGATTGCACAATTAAATTGGCTTTTTTCGTGTTTAGCACCGAAATTTCAACTCCTAGCTTATGAATGACATCTTATCCGACTAGAAAAAACTTAGAGCATTTCTTATCAGACTCATGGCTGAACTAGTCCAGTAGAAGATGTTAATTCTGCCCTCACTATAATGTGAATAATTACTAGCAGATGAGAGAATCAACAAGGAATACTGAGCTTCCTTGTGAAAGCAATCTACAGAGAGAAATGGCAATCTTAGGTTGGGTAGTACTCACAGATTTTGGATCCATCATCATTCCTGAGAGCGTTCCACCAAGAATCTTGAAAGATATCTGTAAAAGATATTCCAGCAAACAACCCCGTTTAGTTGGGCACAAAGGGAAAACAGGGGGGAGTGACATACTTCCAAGGGGTTAAGAATGTAGATCACGGTGATGAATCTGCAGGCTTTCAGAACAATTTCTAAAACAAGGATAGGATCTTCAATTATATGATTTTTCACCAACCAGAGTTTATTTCTAGGTCTGAGCATAAATCAGGATGGAACATAATAATTAATTTATCACTGAATGCCTAATGTAGTACAGCTAGTGCGCAGTTCACAATTCGACCTGTTTTGTACGCAATGGTACTGCTAATTATCTTCAGCTGCACTGGGCACCATCAGTGTGCTAGCAAGTTGCAGTCGGCACAGGCTAGACCTCAAGAATTCATTACATGTTTGAAGAGACATTGAGCTAAAATGAAAGGGTATATGCTGTCACTATTCATTCCCAGATTAAACAAAATAAACTAGAACTCCTAATCTTTGAAGAACCATAAAACATATAACCACGTAAGGAGATAAATGCCCTCCAGAAAGATTAACGCTTCCTCAGGCAGCTTCAAGTCAGGATTTTCCTTAGGCTAATTACAGGTCGTTTCTCATAAAAATTATAAAGTCCAGCACCTTCAATGTTCCTATGATAAAATCAAAATGTATCAAAGAAAATTGAGTGGGTAAGAATGAAACTTTACTAAAGATTAGATTTGGATTACACGAATAGATGTCTCAATTATAAACCGAAATGAGATGGTCAAGATTGATTAATTTTTTAAATCAAGATAGTAAATAAAAATGTTTCCCTTTCTATTTCTCTAGTCTCTCCCTCTCGTTATTTCCCCAGTGAGAAGATTATCTCGGAGGAATTCCAGTCATTGAACGATCCGACCGGCTTACATTACATGCTTTCCTCAAAGGTGATAAAAAAAAAACTGATAGGACTCCAACACCGAGAGAGGAACAAGACGTAGATCTAGTAGAATTTCAGTATGCAAAAGAACAAGAAAATCAAGAAATCAGATCCCGGATGGGACCCGAGAACCAGTATGGCAACCATTCGTGACGGTAACCGCTCTCCCAAGTTTCCCCAAAAAACAACCTCTCCCTTTTCCCTCCACACCCTTCTTTATATAGCCCTCACTTCTACATGTAGGGCCTCCCTCATGGAATTTACATATTAAACCCTCACATGTGGGATTTTACTCTATTACCCCTTCTGGAATATGTAATATGGACCAGGGGCCTAACAAAAACTTTCGGTTAGCATCTCATTTCAGAAGTCAAGAGGTGAGCTTGAAGTATGTCATGACAAAACGACAGGTAAGGAAAATGGTATACTTGTAAAAGAAAATAGGACTTCAAAATACCATAGAGTGTGGTTTCTGAGGATTACGAATATGATCAGACTAGAAGATCCATCTCTAGAACACAGCGAGGAACAAAGTATCAAGGAGACACTGAAACATAAATTATAGTACAGTATGTTGATGTACATGCGCGTCACACAAGAAAATTGAGCGTGATCAAGACATAGTGAAATGAGCATAACAGGGTGGAGAGTAAGGTAGAGGATACGAAGCAAAATAATAATGACATCATTGCCAATTTTGTCAAGAATTTTATGCATAATGGAGGAAAATATTTACTTTTGCATAGTTGTATGCCTGCCAGCAAAATGGTTCCTCCAAATCCGCTGGTAGGATGTCTCTTTTCATTTTCTCCATTAAGAATTCTTCCATATTGACTGTGTTACTGGAGCTCTCTTGCTCTAAGTCACTATCATCTTCAACTAGGCTCTCATTTAGTGGCCTAAATGCTGATGATGGCATTTGCCTTAATATTGGGGAAAACCCTATTGTCCCAGGAAAAGTAGCCTCAATGCTTTTCCCAGTGATGCCCCGTCCAGTTGTAATGATCTTCCACTCAACGGAATGGTCTGTTGTTGAAACCGTCCCGATAGAAGGATTTCCATCAAAGAACATCACTCTTCTCTGGGGAAACGGAAGAGAAACGGTGCAGTACTCCATAGTTAACGGAGTTTTATAGCCTTCCATCAATCGCAGCTTGAACAAGAAGGCACCTTCATTTTCCGAAACCATGGAAAGCTGATAGAAACCTTTTACTGGGGGATCAAGGGCACAGAAAGCCTGATAACGCATCAAAACAAAATTTCCAAGAGGTGGAGTAAACATTATTGCATGCTTGTCCATGCCTTGTTCTGGAACCTGAGCACAGGGATGAAAAGACAAGACCTCAACACGAGGAGTATCCAATCCTGCCAAAGGGAAAGAGACATCAGCCAGTCCTTCTAATTCTGCTCTGCAGTTCACTTGACCTGAAATCGATATAATGTCGGGAATTTCATCCCTGTCATACATAGCGGCATGAACTATCTCGTGAAATGTAAACAATATTCGTTGCTTTCCTTTGTACAAATATGGCTTCCAGGATGGCTGCTTAAGATCTGCAAGTAGGATATCTAAAGATGAAAACCCAGTGGCCCTAATAGCAGCGATGTTTGAATAGTTGAGGTCCAAAGGTGTGCCTGCATAATTAAAAGAAAAGCCAGACAAATATTTAACCGCAGGCCATGCCTGGCATAATCTGACATACACGAGGACCAAAAGAGAAATGAAAATACTACCATAACAAAGAGTACCAACCAAAGGGCATCGAGTTGCTTATAAAAGATCGCAATGCATCTTTGTCAATAGATCTTGGTGAGCTTTTGGGAGCATCCGATGACGCAACACCAGTTGCAGAAGAGCCTGAAACAGTAGAAGCAACAGGTGCTGCAACAGGTTTTGCTCTAGCAGATAATCCAGTTATTCCAATGGTACCAGTGAGTGAATCAAGCAGCCCCCCAACAGATGGGGATGAACTTGAAACCACCTCAGGATCAACAATATCCCCTGTGATTAGGTCACCAATAGAATGTGCCACCAAAAACGCCCTAAAAGAAATCGGCAAAATGCATTTATTAATTGATGTTTCAATAGAACACAAAATGCAAGCCAGTCAATATTCTCTTCCTGGCAGGTCAAAGTTCGTTTCAGATGAGCGTCAGACAACAAATAAACTAAATGCAAAAGATAATAGGGATATACAACCATGTATGCAACACATAGTCCGACAAAACACTTTAAAAAGAGCAGTGGACTAAATACAAGAGCAATGCCTTTTAAGGCCAAGTCTCTCAAAATGGCAGAATCACCCCTTTCCTCATCTCTCAATAACCTTGCCTACTCCTGGCAGAAACAAGAAGAAAATGCGCGACTACCCCTGAAGGACCAAAGTTGATGCAATCTAAGCATTAAACAAACTTCTGCAACAAACCAAACAAGCCAAACCCCTCCTTAACACATGAGCATAGAGAGGCACTTTGAAATTTCCCTCAAGAAGGGACACTTGCTGCACCAAAAATTTAGAAACAATTTTTCATGCCTCCATCCAAGAGAGGAGACAATGCACAAAACTTGACATCATTCCATCAGGTTTCCACTTGTACGAATAAAATGCAGTAAAATCTTTCACATAGAATCCTTTAAGGGTGAGGTACTTTTTTATATGTGTATTCTGTTGGTCTGCATGTACAGTAGCCTCTGTTTCTGTTAACCAGCGTAAGATCCGAACTTCCCAGCCAAGACGCTCACAATACCCTCTGGTGTACATAGTAATATTTACTTTATCGGCAATCTTCATGTCTCCCAAAACCTTCAGAACTACAACCCCATGGATTAAAAGATCCAAGGTAACATATCATTTAACTGTATAGGCAAGAGAGTTTTTTATTAATTCTACTTCAGTGTCCATAACCACTGGCTGGAGGGTGTTCTTAACAGGACCACGGTGGTTCCACGTTGCCAGAAAAGGACTTGAACGTCATATAAAAAGTCCATGTTAATGTGGTTCTGTGGCCTTTCCTATACTGAACAGGAGTTCTTTTATATTAAAAAGCCCATGTTAATGTAATAAGTAATCAAATTATCGAGATACAATTTTAAGTTAACTGAATGTGAGGTTCAATGCAGGACAATATACCTGCTAACGATTTGAAACCCTTAAAGCCTATACAATGGACATCTTACCAAATAATAATGGAGTCCATGTATGTTAAACCACAAGTTCTCAGTTCCTTCTGTCTTTCTACTCAACTAGCAACCAGTGCTCCTTTTGGCTTGTGTCTAGGGAGCAGAAAACCCTAGGAGGACAAGGACAGAGGTGGAGAGAGAATGAAATCTCACACTGAATTGATGCTAGGGTTCGGTATTTATACCAGACACATTACAGATGAACCACACCGGACTGGACTGGTTCAATATTGGACCAATTTGATTCAACAGTGAGCCGGATTGAGATGAACAAGAATAAAGATAAAAGATAGTGTAGTACATTCCAACACTCCCCCCTCAAGCTGGTGAAAACAGATGTTCTCTGATTCCAGCTTGGATACAAGACTGGGTACTAAAGCCCTTAATATGTCTGCAAGTTGATCACATGTAGACACATAAGGTGTGCAAATCAAGCCACTATGTAGTTTGTCCTTAGTGAAATGTTAATCAACCTCGATATGTTTTCTTCGATTGTGTTGTACTGCGTTGTGTGCTATACTGATTGCAGACTTATAAAACAACAAAATCTCATTGGACTGTCCCATAATTTGAGGTACTCTAGAAAAAAACAAAAACCCGAGGTAGATCTTTTGCCAATGATTGGCCCTGATTAATTGATATCTGTATATACTTCAGGTATCAATCTTCCATTTTTCTTTAAGACAATACTTTTCCTTGGTGCCCTTTTGAGATAATGTAGCACTTGGTGAGCTGCATGTAAAAGTACTTCCTTCGGGTTGTACATAAATCAGTTAATAGCATATGGTATTTTTGGTCATGTATGAGGCAAATAAATCAATCTTCTGACCAAACGTTGGTACATCTCCCTGTCTACAACAACATCCTCCTCTCTGCTTCACCAAGTTTGAGATTTAAATCTATTGGGGTATTTGCTGAGATTAGATGCAGTCTTGTCTATTTCTTTAAGAAGATCGAAAATATACTTTTGTTGGAAGATAAACATACCTTTCTTTGAGTGGGCTACTTCTATTCCAAGCAAGTATCTTCACCTCGCCGATGTTTTAATTTCAAATTCTTTAGTCAGACATTAACTTAAGTATTTTTTTCTTTTACCTTTATTTTCAGTCACAATTATATCATCAACAAATACTAAAAGTGTTGTGAATCTCGCTAAGGGTGAGTGTTTAACAAACAATGTGTGATCTTCTTGGCTTTGTTTATATCCCATACCAAACCAGGCTCAAGATAATGATTTGAGTTCACATGAGTTTTTCTTCGATTTCCGCACCATATTAGCAGCTAAAACCTTTCTATATCTCGGTGAGGCCTCCATATAACTTTTTCCTTTTAGTTCTCCATGTAAAGATGTATTCTTAACATCGAACTGCTGTACATCCTAACAACAATTAACTGCTAATGACAGCAAAATTCTGAAAATATTCATCTCTGCCACAAGAGAGGTCTCTAAAACCCCATAGGTTTGAGTATATCTTTTCGTGACCCCATAGTACTCTAGATAGCGAAGGTCTCTGTATCGCTTTACAACAAAATTTCAGGCATATGCATATACTAAAGACAGATAAAAAACTTCTGGTGTTCATAATCTGTGCTGAATGCATCAGCTCAACATTACAGATGAACTAGACCGAACTGGATCAGCTCAACAGTGAACCAGACCGGGCTGAATCAATCTAAGGATAAAAGATAATTAAGTACATTCAAACAGTTTGTGAAGAATGACTATACTTTGTTTTTGTTGCCTGCTAACCTTAGTGGCTCGCACCACTTCTCCACCTAGTCTATTTATACTCCTGAAAAAGATCACACAGTGATAATTCAAAACTCGACTAACTTAATATCCTCTAAACATCATAGATCTTAAGTGATGGGT